GGCAGGAACTCAAGGCAGGATCCTGGAGGCAGGAGCTGATGCAGAGGCCATGGAGGGTGCTGCTTACTGGCTTGCTACCCATGGCTTGTTCAACCTGCTTTCTTATAGAACCCAGCACCGGCAGCCCAGGGATGCTATTTCCCACAGCAGTCTAGTTCGCCCCCACCAACCATTAATCAAGAAAATGCCAACACACGCTTGCCTGCATGTAGGCATTTTCTGAATTGAAGTTCCCTCTTCCCAAAGAGCCCTTGCTTGTGTCAAGTTGACAAAAACAAAACAAACAAACAAAAAACTGACCAGTACAGCTCCTTTGGTCACTCCCCCTTATTTTTGAGATGGGGTTTTACTATGTAACCCCAGCTGGCCTGGACCTGGCTATGTAGAGCAGGCTAGCCTTAAACCCACAGAGATCTGCCTGCCTCTTCCTCTCCGGTGCGTGGATTAGGGGAATGCACCACCATGCCGGGCCTGTGCCTTCATTTTAGAGAGGAGGCTTCCCTTGACTGTGAGTCTGCAGACTTTCCAGAACTTCACCCTGCCAGGAGCTTCCCAGCAAGACACCACACAGAGAGGCATCACGGGGAGGCATCGGGTGGCAATGGCAATGTATGCCGGAAGTAGATCCAAACGTGGATTTCCTAGGCTTACCTAGCTCCCACACATGCCTGTCACTTAATGCATGGCCCACCCACAGACCTGTAGTGCCAGTCCAATGCCCGAGGCTCTAGGAAGGGTAGGGCCAGGATGCCAAAGGAATGAGAATCTGAGGAGACACTCTCCAGGCAAACCCGCCTCTCTCAGGTACCACAAGAAATAGCCGTGACTCTCCTGCCACCCTGGGAGCTTGCTGAGCACCTGCTACTGACCTGGACACGGTGAGGGTGGCCAGAGCTTTGAAGGCAGCAGGATTGGACTGTTTGGGTTCCTCCAGCCCCAGGGAAGAGCCCTGCAGGCCTGTTCTGCCTGTAACTGTCTCTCAACTGAAGCCACACTGGTCCCTACCTGTGAGCGTGGTAGCCAGGGATGTGGCACCTTTACAGCCGTGACAAAGCACCATGATCAAGGCAACTTACGCAAGGAAACATTTAGTTTGGGACTCGCAGTTTCAGGGGGTTGGAGTCTGTGGCCGTTACAGCAGGGAGCAGGGTTGCAGCCAGGCAGGCAGGCACGGTGTTGGAGCAGTAGCTGAAAGCTCATGTCTGATCCACTAGCAGAAGACAGACAGAGAGGGGGCTAAGGATTTCTGAGACCTCCAAGCCCACCCCCAGTGATTGGCCTCCTCCAAAGCCACGCCTCCCAGTCCTTCCATCCCTGCACCAGCTGGGGATGGAGCACGCAGACATAAGGCCCCGTGGGGGCATTTCCGTGCAAGCCACCGCACCTTCCAGCACTGACTGCGGAAGCTGCTGACTCAGGGGCAGACACTGGGTGAGACACACACACTTTCGTTTCACACACTTCCCGAACCGCCGTCAGCTCATCCTTGTATTCAGTAGTGTTATTGTGAGACAATGATCAGTCTGCGGCAGACACTGCTGCCCTTGCCAAACTGTGGCGTGAGCTGACCTCACAGCCAGCTACAGCAAGGAGACTTTCCTGGGCGCTCGCCAATAAGGAGGAACATGCAGTGTGACAACTGTAGGGTATCCCTTAGTAAGTTTTCCAATAGACGTGTTTGCATGTATGTGCCCTCCCAAAGCTGTTAGATCTGGGCTGGGGGCGGGGCAGCAAAGGGCACATTGGTGACCCGGTGGCGGGAAAGCCGCGGAGATGGGGGCTTGCAGCCAGCTGGGAGTTTCAAGAAGAGGGGAAAGGGCCTGGGTCTGGGGATGGAGCAACACTGGTGGCCTGGGTAGGGAGGAAGGCTGAGGCCTGGGTGGAGGTGTGTCCCAGAGACCATGGGGGCAGGGGGGCAGGAGCTGTCTTATAGAGGGTGCCCAACAGCCTGGTGACAGTGAAGGGGGCAGTGATGCTCAAAATGGGGGACACTTGCAGTGTACATGGGTTGGGTGTGGGGGAAAGGGGAAGGTGGGGTGTAAATGACACTCCTGGTCCAGGCCAGGGACAAGCTTGGGTGGGACTAAGGGACAGGTGTGACTGACAGGGTACAGGTGATGCACAGGTGACCTGCTCTGGGGGAGAAGGGGAAGGTGGCAATAGTTGAGAGAGAGGGGGAGAGAGACAGAGAGAGAGGGAGAGAGGGGGAGGGAGGGAGGGAGAGAGAGAGAGAGAGAAGGAGGGAGGGAGGGAGGGAGGGAGAGAGAGGGGGGGAGAAAGAGGGAGAGAGAGAGAGAGAGAAGAGGGAGGGCAGGAGGGAGGGAGGGAGGGAGAAGGAAGGGAGGGAGGGAGGGAGGGAGAAGGAAGGGAGGGAGAAGGGAGGGAGGGAGAAGGAAGGGAGGGAGGGAGGGAGGGAGAAGGGAGGGAGGGAGAAGGGAGGGAGGGAGAAGGGAGAAGGGAGGGAGGGAGGGTGCTCGACAGCAGTCAGGTAGTGTCCATTGTCTCTAGAACAGCTCAGGGACTGAGTGGAAAGCTGGCCTTGCTGGAGCTAAGCTGGGCCCAAAACGTCCGAGGACCAAAGCTTCAAAGGTTGGGAGGGTCAGGAGCAGAAGAAGGCCCAGGGGATTGAGGCCTGGTGTGGGAGTGTTGGGATTCAGAGGTCCCTGTGGGTGCTGACAGGGCACCTCACAGCCAGCTGGTCCTCAGTAAAGACACAGTGTGTGGGGCCCGCCCCAGGGAGATGCCTGAGACTAGATGGAGGCAGCGGCATGGAAGCCTGAGGTGGGGGAAAGAGGACATCAGGAGCCGGTGCTGTTGACAACAAGTAAAGCTGGGGGCAGCAGACTGCAGAGTGCTGGGAGCTGATACCCTCCAGGGGCAGGGGCAGGGAGACAGCCAGCAGGGAGGGAGGGGACCTCACACAGGCTGACAATTCAAGGGCTGGGGGACCAGGAATTCAAGGTCATCGTTGATTATATATCGTTGATTATATAGTGAGTTCAAGGCCAACCTGGGACAGTGGGAAACAAGGAACAGCTGGGACCCCAAGCCATGCGGGCGAAACGGCAGTAGCCACGGGGATAAGGCTTCAGGAGGGCATGGTCACTGTGGAGGCGAGTCAGTCCCTGGTGGTCAGCCGGACTCTAAAAGGATCACGACATCTGGAAGAAGCAGAGGGAATGGGGTGTGGGGTTTCCATGGCAATGGGAGTGCAGAATGAAGGAAGCTCTGAGGGTGCATTCGGGGAGGCCTGTGATACTCTGGGGACCCCTCCCCTCTGCTTCTGCCTTGCTGTGGTGAGCCATAGGGTGTGGCTGAAGGAATTGTGGCCATCATCGCTATTGCCAATGAAGACAGTCACTTGGTAGGGACAGGGTGACCATGAAGGGGGCTGTGGGAAGGTTTTTTTTTTTTTTTTTTTTTTTGAGAGGTGCGCTTGGATGGATTCTACCAGGGAAGGGTAGAGCTAGGAGGATACAGGAAAGATCTCTCGCCTTGTCTGTGTAGTCAGGGGGACCTCTGTAAGTAGCCCTGTCTTCAGAGACTTCATCACCTGTGAGAAGATATGGTGGAGAGCCCTGAGCACTGGAGGACAGGGGAGAGAGCCATGCGTGTGTGGCCCCCTCTTCTGAAGTCTCCTCAGGGCCGCAGCTCCTCAGGGAGGAGGGCTTTGTGGAACCTGAGGCCAGGCTAAAGCCTGACGCAGAGGTAGGCCGCTTGTATCCATCAGGACAATACGTCTCCCCAGGACGCCGCTGGCTTGACTCTGGGAGCACCATGGCCTGAGTCCACCCCACAGCTGTGGCTGCAGAAGGAGCCCGAGCAGGTGGCCCACCGGCTGAGGGGCTCAGTGATTGGTGACTCTGTGTCTCCAGGGCCAAGAGCTCTGGAACTTCAGTTGGGCACCGGGTGTCAGGTGGACCTGGAGAGGCTGCTGTAGGGTGGGGTACTGTAGTCCACTCCAATGCAGATGGGGCCCAGGCAACCCTGAGGTTGGCAGAAAATGGGAATCCATTTCTTCCTGTCCCTCGCGTCTGCTGAGTGTCTGAACGCTCTCTGAGGATCTCAGAGGCTGCCCTCTGGAACTAGCAGGACAGCTGGACAGTGACTCGAAGAGTTGGTAAAGCAGGGAAGGGTAGGTGTGCAGAAGGTGACACGGCCTTAGCCAGGGGGGTGGGAGCTGCTATCTTAGTTTCTCTCCCCGTTGTTGTGAAACACCACAGATAAACTGAAAGAGGGAGGGGCTTATTCTGGCCCACAGTTTAAGGTGCAGCCCATCATAGTGGGGGGTCAAGACAGCAGGAGCTGGAAGCAGCTGGCCACCTATGCAGAGCCAGAAGTGAGCCACGAGAGAAGCCACACTCCTGCTCAGCCCTCCCACCGCCCTCGTACAGTCTGGAATCACCTGCCCAGGAAGTGGCCACACCCATAACTAAGATGGGTATTCCCACATCAATTAACAAACTATCTTTAACAAAAAACAATGTGTGTGCACGTGCATAAGTAAAGGTCAGAAAGAGCTGGTGCTTTCATTCTGCCATCAGGGCCTGGGGAATCGAACTCAGATTATCAGGCTTGGCTGCAAGCCCCTTACCTGCTAAGCCATCTCACCAACCCGTTTGTATCAATTAATGCAATCAAGATAATCCCCTGAAGGCATGCTCTAAGGCCCAGACTCCCAGATAATTCCAGATGCTGTCAATTAACCCTAACCATCTGAGGAGGGTAGTTGAAAGGCGGACAATTTAAACAGAGCCCTAAGTCTGAGGGTGTGAGCCTTGTGGATGTTGGGGTGGAGGCATTCGCTATATGAAGGTGCTGAGGCAGGAAAGCTTGGTGTCCTCATGAACCAGCAGGAAGGACCGTGTGGCTAGGGCAGAGACTTGGAGGCAGGGGCCCCAGCCCTCTGGTAAGGGGTGCCTCTTAAGCAGCTGGCATTTCAGCCTCTACCTCACATGGCCGCTCTGAGCCCCTCAGCCTCCCCCGCCTCTTTTCCTTAGTGATGTGCCCAGGGGTGCCAACACCTTTGGGGTGTCTGGGAGCTCTGAGGTGAAGATCTACATGGTCTATGATCCTGCACGGGTCGCGGAGCCCACAGGCCGGGCCCACTGGCCCCTGGATGCCAACGTGGATGTGGTGGTGGTGGCGGACACAGTCAGTAAGGACATGAATGACCTCAAGGTAAGTCTCACTCCAGCTGGCTCATATCCCAACCTGAGTCATCTCAGACACCTCTCCACAGAGACCCAGACCTCACACACCCCAATACCACACAGCACATGGAAACAACCGGTCACCCCTCAGATCCACGCAACTCTGTTACTCCCTCAAACCTCTGTGCTCCCCAAGCAGGATTCCATGGCCGCACTCACAGGCTCGCACAGGGCCCCCGCATACCCACTCCAGCCTTCACATGCACACGGCAAGGCACGTCTGGCTGACCCCTCCCTGCTGGCCCTAGTGTCTCCCATACACTATGGTCCCTCAACTCCTGGCCCAGTGCTTTCTCCAGGATGGGACATAGCTCTGCACGCAACAGCGCCTGTGGCAACCTCCCCTGCAAGGAATCCTGTCATGTGTGCAGGTCACGTGGGGTAGGGGTAGGAGTCTGGACTTTGGCAAAAATCCTGACACTGTGATCATGGGACCAGGTCATTCCATCAGTACAGAGAACGAAGGATGCAAAGGCAGGTCGACCTGCCTAGGCCAGCAGGGACAGTGGCCCCTCTCTGTGTATCCCTCTCAAATTCCAGGAGGTTTTGGAGTCACTATAACCCTCTTTGTAGCCCTCCTTTCTCCCTCCTCAAATTTCTCGGCATCCTGGAGCATCACCCTAGGTCATAATTGCCAATGAGTTTTGCCTCAACAGGGCTGTAGGTGTGGCCCCCATGGCCCCTGCCTCGACTTCTCTTAGGATTGGCTTCTTCCGCAGGTGAAGGTGTCATACTTCGGGTCGCAGGAGGCTGGTGCTCTGGGCCACAGCATGCTCTTCCTCACTAGTGTTGGTGAGTCCCGCTTCTGCCTGGCTGTGGATGTGGTGGCTATTGGAATGTGGTAGAGGTGACTGAAGCTTGTGGAGGCTGCCGCCTCCCCTCTCCACCTCCTGAGAACACCAAACATTTCCAGGACTGCGGGAATTGAGACCCAGTCGTGCTTAGGGCCAGTGGGGTCTAGAAATGCTCTGCTACCAGCTTGAGCCACAGTGGCCTCCTCATGGGAGTCCGGCACATCTCTGGATCCCGGAGACCCAACCTAGAACCACAAAGAGCCACATGCATCTTTCACCCAGAGCCCATGACAGCCTCCCCTGAGGACAACAGACCCTGCTCATGGGTGCCCAGTGACTACAGTTAAGGGCCCACTGCACGTGGCATAGAAACCCAGGGCCACCAAGACATAGCCGCCCAACACACATGGCCAAGCCAATGACTTGGGTCCCTCCAGCACCAGAACCGCCCGTGTCACTCTAGCTAGAGTCCCATGCCAGCATGTGGGCTCCGGGTATTAAGTCTCCAGAGCTGGGCTTCTGGGTTCTCATCAGCTGGGGTGGGGGCCAAGGTGGCTGGACCTGCCGTCACAGGTACAGAGACAGGTGACCTGTCTGCCCTTTGCAGATGTGTCCCTGGATGCTGACACAGGCCGCACAGGCAAGGTGAAGAGAGGCTCGGGTGACAAGGTGAGACCCTGGGTACCCTAAGAGTGTGACAGGCAGACCTGGGTGTTCTTGGCAGCAGAAGAGCGGCCAATCCCGGGGTCTGTACTGCTCATGGAAGGACGGCCAAACTGACTCAAGTGAGCAGTAGTTTAGGCCATGTGAGACATGCTGTGTGACTGTTGGGAAAACACTTACCCTTTCTGATCTGTCTTAGTTTGTTTGGGGCAGTTTCTACTCAGGGGGTTTTGTCTGGACCTCTCAATATGGCAGGGGCTTCATGAGTAACCGGATGACCTCTTTCTGGTAGAGGGGGCTAGGGTATTCAGTTACAGCTAGGCCACGAAGAATGAAGGAGAGTAGAGTCGTCCATGGGGAGTGTGTAGCTCACATAGGGGCAGGAGGTACAGATTGTAGGGAAAGACCCAGAGAGGCGGCCTGGATCCCGAGGCTTTGTGGAAAAGGCGGGACAGGACACCGGAATCACTGTGTAGGCCACTCACTGCACAAGGTTTCTGGGGGGGGGGCAGGAGCTACAATGAAAGCCATGGTGTGGACCCTGACACAGGGTAGCATCTACTCTGTGGGCGGGCAGGGGTGCCATGAGAGTCACGGAAGCAAGCGGTGGGCCTGTGAGTCCCAGAGAATGGGGCTTGAAGATTGACTGAGCTACCTAAAGGCTCCCTCCAGGAGTTTCTCTTTACGCTCTTGCCAAATGGAGAAAATGTATAGGGTATTGGGGACAGTAGTGACCCCAGAGTCAGGCAGCTTGTCCTCAGCCTGCAAGGGCCTTCAAGACCCCGATGAATGTTAGGCCCAGGAGCATGCTGGAATGGGGGGTGGCTCTCCCTGGGCCTGAGCCTTACTGAGAATTCTGTGCCCCGTGTCCATGGTCCCTCTTTAAATAGTTCAACGAACCCAGAATACAAAAGCTTCTGAGCTAATCACTGAGCCAACCCAGGCATGTCTAGTCCCAGAACCCCCAGGCTTGACTAACCCAAACTTTCCTGTGTGCCACAGAAAACCTGGCGCTGGGGCTCTGGGGGCTCTGGGGCCATCCTGTTGGTAAACTGTGACAGAGACATCCGTGGGTCCAGGGAGGATCTGCATGCCAGCCATCTGAGGTCACTGGAGGGTGAGTGACAGCAGGCATGGGGGGAAAGAGGGGCCTTGTGTACCAGGCTTCTTTTTGAGGCCACCAAACAGCTTCCAAATCATGACAAGGAGACTTCTTATTGGCTATGAATGCTCGGCCTTAGCTTAGGCTGGTTTCTTGCCAGCTCTTATGAGCTCACCTGCTTCTCTTTATCTACGTTTTGTCTGGGAGTGTTTAACTTTTCTTTCCTTCTGTATATCTCACTTTCGTTGCTTCTCCTGTCTGGCCGGTGGCTGCCTGGCTTCTGGTCCTGGGCGAGTCTCTCTCTTTCTCTCTTTCTCTCCTCCTTCTCTCTAGATTTCTCCTCCTCCTTATTCTCTCTGCCTGCCAGCCCCACCTATTCTCCTATTGATCATTCAGCTTCTTATCAGACCATTCAGGTGCCTTAGACAGACAAGGGGAAACAAATGCAACCCATCTTTACATATTTAAACACACATCCTTACAGGGTTAAACAAATGCAGCATAAACAAATGTAACACATCTTTGTCTAGTTAAAATAATATTCCACAGCTACACAGTGGTGTCACACACGTTGGGAGGCAGAGGCAGGCAGATCTTTGTGAATTTGAGGCCAGCTTGGTCTACAGAGTGAGTTCCAGGGCAGACTGGACCATCCCACATAGAAATCCTGTCTCGGAAAATAATAATGATAATGATAATGAACAACAACAACAACAATAATAATAATAATCCCCAACAGTCTTGGTTGGGGAGGAGGGCATTTGTCTCAGAAGTCACTCCCCCAGACCTGCAGGACATGTCCCCAATGGTGCTGAGCTGCAGTGGCCCCGATGAGCTCTTTGAAAGCCACAAGCTGGTCTTGAAGGTGTCTTTGCCTGATTCCAGAAGGTTGAGGGTCTTCTGTGCCCGAGGTGAGTAGTGGCCTGTCTCATCCCATTCTTCCTCCCTCTGTCACCTTTCTGTAACTCATTGTGCCTTGAGTGGCAATTCCATTGGGGAAGGGAAGGGTATGACAGTCAAGGATGGGGCCCAACTGCTGGTCCCAATGCACAGAGAGAAAACCGGAGCTCAGACACACAGTCACTGTCGCACAGCCAAGTGGAGTGGGGGGAGAGTTCCAAGCCAGGCTTTTTGGGTGCCAAGGCCCCTCCCTGACCCCACATGACTTGTTGCCTCCTCTAGCCAGTCAGTCAGCACCAAATTCTTGCTGTCTGGTGGCCCCACCCAAACGGGCAAGAAGGGTAAGGGACCTTGGAGGCTAAGGCCCAGGACCTAGCTTCAAATCCTGGCTGAATTGCATGATTTTTCTAACCAGAATCTGCAGCTTTAGTGGACTGAGTTGCAGATCAGTGGTGATATGTTTAATCACCCCAAATAAAAATCCAGACACATCAGAAGCCCCTCCCATCTTCTGTCACCACAGAGATTCATCCGTTACGTGGCACACACGATCACTTCATTGCTTTTTGTGGGTGTGTGGTAGTGCATCTCCAGATGTCCTTTATTTGACACAATTTGTTTGTAAGCTCTGTGGACGAACATTTGGGTCATCATCACCTGTTGGGTCAGACGCTTTTCTCTAGTTCTCTCAGTTCTCCTGAGGCTCAGAGAGGTTGAGTCGTTGGGCCAAGGTCACAAAGCTTGAGCACTGGAGAGCTGGAAGGGAACTCAAGTAGAGCTCCCCAGAGGTGGCCCCCACATGGGCCTGACCCTGTTCTCCTCAGGTGGGACCTCCCTCTCAGACTACAAGCAGGTGCTAGGACCCTACCACCAGGAATATGAGGTAGAGCGGCACCCCGGGGAGGGCAACATCCGGTTCTATGTGGAAGGACTTGTTTTCCCTGACACCAACTTCCCAGGGCTGATCTCTCTCAGCGTCAGCCTGGTAGTCACAGAGGTAAGTGCTACAGGAGGGCTGTGTGGGGGACAGAGGGCAGCCCGGAGCCCACAATGCCTCTGAGTACTCCTCTCTCCCAGGCCCTCTCCGAGGTGTCACTCTTCACAGACAGCGTGACCTTCCGAGTGGCCCCCTGGATCATGACCCCCAACACCCAGCCACCCCTGGAGCTATACGTGTGCAGGTGAGTCCTGCCCCCCAGCCCCACCAGGCCCAAACCAGAAGAGTAAGCAGTATGCTGTGTGGCTGGCCAACCTTCATTCAGGGATGGTGTCACAGCCCTGAGCTGCCATGTGACCACGGTAGAGGTCCTACCGCCCCCGCCAGCACCAGGTAGTTCTAAATCTGCTGGCTCTCCACCCGTTACAGAGGCCTAGAAACCTTGAATTCCGTCTGGGTCATGGGGTCAGGTGTGGTGGTACAGGCCTGTAATCCCTCATTTGGGAGGTTGCAGGAGGAAGACTGGGAGTTCAAATCCAGCCTCTGCTACAAGAGTCCCTACCTCAACACAAAAGAAAACAAAAATCTGGGTGGTGGGGCTGAGCCCTGCATGTGTGCTAGGAAGGACCTGGCTTCACTCTTCTGAAGTCGCGTCTGCATCTTCTGAGGACACAGGGACCCAGTCATAGGATCCATTGAGTCTTGCCCATTCTGGGTGTCCTGGTCCTTCTGCTATGCCCTGGTATCTAGTGGCCTCTGCTGGTCAACTCTTGAGATATTGCAGATAGGAGTGGAAGACAGGGCCAGGTGAGCCAGATGCAAATTCAGAGCAAGAAGGTGAGGCTGCTCAGGCTCATCTGTCCCCCTGGAGCCAGGAGTGTCCCAGCTTCCTGTCTGCCCAGAGACCTCGCCTTAACTCTCTGCCCTGAGAAGTCGGGGCTAGCCCACTTACTGCCATCTCCATGAGTGGCATCAACCCCAGGTCACTTCCACAGCCACCCTGGACTGCCTGGGCTAGTTCAGGCACCCGATTCTGGGCTCTACAAACTGACCTTGCCCTGCTCAGGCACCAGTCACCTGATGTGATCTAGAAACATGACACACACACACCCCACCCCCAAGTCTTCCATCCTCTCCAGGGCAGGGATGCATCCAGTGTCCAGGGACACAGGGCCTGGCGCAGTTGGATTCTGGTCCCAGCTGTGGTCACTGTCCTTGCAGTGTGACAGATGCCCATGGCCGCAATGACAAATTCCTGGAGGACATGGCCCACCTGGCCCAGAAGGCCAACTGCAAGCTAGTGGTCTGTCCCCAGGTGGAGAATAACAATGATCGCTGGATCCAGGTGGGTGCAAATTGGCTCCAAAAAAGAACTGGGTGGGTGGTGGGTGACTGGGAGTACAGGAGCTCAGTCACGTCTGCCTCCTGAGCCTGGGGACACGGGCCCAAGCTAGAGCAGCCTGGCACAGGACTGGGGGTCACCCTCCAACAGCAGCAATCTCTCCTGTCTCCTCCAAACATCCTGCCTCTGGGGCTGGGTCTTCTGGATGGAGACCTGGAGCCCCCCCAGCCACCTCCCTTCCCCCCCAGCCACCTCCCTTCCCCCCCAGCCACCTCCCTTCCCCCCCCCAGCCACCTCCCTTCCCCCCCAGCCACCTCCCTTCCCCCCCAGCCACCTCCCTTCCCCCCCAGCCACCTCCCTTCCCCCCCAGCCACCTCCCTTCCCCCCCAGCCACCTCTCTTCCCCCCCCAGCCACCCCCATTCCCTGCCCCTCCTTCCCAGTGTCCTCTTGGGTGATGTCACTGTCTGGGGTCATCTTTCCTGAAACCTCCTGAGGAGGCCTGCTGCAGATCTTTCTTCCTCACACAGGACGAGATGGAGTTTGGCTATATTGAAGCCCCTCACAAATCCTTCCCTGTGGTCTTCGACTCCCCTCGAAACAGAGGTCTGAGGGACTTCGCCCTTAAGAAGATCCTGGTGTGTGGCCAAGAACATGGTGGTGGGCAGGGGGGCGGGGTAAGAGGGCAGGGCTTTGGTGGCTCCTCTCCTGGGAGCCCTGATGGAGCCTCATCTGGTCTTTCAGGGTCCAGAGACTGGTGGGGGCGTTGACAGTAATGGGCAGAGTGGGTAGGTTTCCTCTGAGAATGTAAATGACACGCAAATCACATGCAAATCACATGCAAATAGACAGCCACTCCCATAACACTTTCTCCATCCTGGGAGAGACAGAACAGCAATGTTCTTGGAGGGGAGTCATTCTCTGTAATAGGGATCATTCTGAGTGGCCAGGGCTCATTCTCAATGGGGAGTCAACGGAAACAGCAGCCCTGGAGACCAGACTGCCCTTGAGAGGCTGTGTAACCCTAGCGAGCACACCAGGGACTGGTACTCCCTACACACAGGATGGCGGCGGCAGCTACTGCCCCCTAGTTTTTTAAAATGGCTTCCTACACTCAGTCCACGAGATACTCTGCCCTATTATTAGTAATTGTTATTTATAAAGTTACCTTTTCAGTATCAAGGAAACTGAGACTTGGGGAAGTTAAGCAACTTGCCCAAGGCAGGTAACCAATGGGGCACCCATGCACAAACCCCAACGGGTACCTACAAGACCCCTGTACCTGACAGTTGGCTGCAGTTTCTCCTGAGCTGGCCTGTTTCTGTGGGTTTGTAGGCCCCAAGTTCCTTCCTGCAAGGACAGTGTGGACCCAGGAGGGAGTTTGGAAATAGGGTGCCTCAAGCTAGTAACTAGCAGATTGGATGGGGTGGGGGTGGGGTATAACAAGTCTTTCTCTGTCCCACCAGACAGCTCCCAAATAAATACACAGAGACTTCTTAGTAACTATGAAAGCTCCATCTTGGCTTAGGCTTGCCTCACTAGCTCTTATAACTTAAATTGACCCATTCTATTAATCTACATGCTGCCACGCAGCTTGTGGTTTTTACTCTCCTCTTGCATGGCCTGCTTCCTCTGTGTCTGACTGACAACTCCACCTTTTTCCTCTGAGTCTTCTCTGTCCCCAGAAGTCCCGCCTAACCTCTTCCTGCCCAGCTATGGCCATTCAGCCCTCTATTAAGTCAGCCACAGTGACACATCTTCACACAGTGTAGAGGAATATTACACAATGGGGTAAATCCTGCAGGGTAAGTGTGTGACCAGGGCACCCTGACTCTTGGCTCTGTGACCTCTCAGCCTTCTCTTCCTTTGGGGCCATGGTGCTCCTCTCTTCTTGGCTTAATGTGCAGGCTGAGGCTGCTGAATGCCTTGTCTTCCTGACTGGTGTGTCAGGAATCCTGAACCCTCTGCCTACCCAGTGACTCACAGGTTTTAATGTGTGTGGGGGCATTGTGTGTGTGTGTGTGTGTGTGTGTGTATGTATGTGTGTGTCTGGGCGCACATATGTTGTGTATGTTTGTGCCCACATGTGTGTGTGCACGTGTGCATGTGTGCATGTGTGTGTATATATGTATGTGTGCATATGTGTGCGTGTATGTAGGGGTGTGTGCATATGTGTGTATGTATATGTGTATGCATATGTATGTGTATGTGTGTGCATATGTGAGCCTATGTATGTGTATGTGTGTGCACGTATGTGTGTGTGTGCATATGTGAGCCTATGTGTGTGTATGTGTGTATGCACGTATGTGTGTGTGTGTGTTCATGCACATACATGTGGAGATCAGAGGGCATCCTTTGATGTCATGCCTTAAGAGCTGTCCACCTTTTTTTTGAGAGAGAGAGAGAGAGAGAGAGAGAGAGAGAGTGTGTCTCCTATTGGCCTGGGACTTGCCAATTAGGCTATGCTAACCCATGTAACCCACGGCTACCCTGCCTCCCAGCGCTGGACTTGCAAGTGTGTACCACCACACCAGGCTTTTATGTGGGTGCTGGAGATCAACCTTGGGTCCTCAGGCTTGATTGGCAAATGCTTTCTTTACCTCCTGAGTCATCTGCCCCGCCCTGATGGCTCCATCCTCCCTTCACTTTCTACCATGGTCTCTCCACCATGTCTGTCCATCCGTGAGTCCTTTGGATGTCCACTGCGTGATCAAGGACCTGGAGACTCTGCTCACCTCTGGGCACTGGCTTGATCTTGAACTTCTCAGTGTGTAAAGAGAGGGGCTTGTTAGGTGTGGATGGAAATGGGATTTCAGTGGAGACCTGGGGAGTGGGTGTCCAGTGCCCTCCCCTCCTCTAAGCATGACTCCTCCCTCCAACCCTTCTGACTGTGGGTGCTCTGACGGTGCCTCTCTAGGGTCCTGACTTTGGATATGTGACCCGAGAGATCCAGTACGCAGGCGCCTCTGGCCTGGATTCCTTTGGCAACCTGGATGTGAGCCCACCGGTGAGGGTTGGCAACAAAGAGTACCCGCTCGGCAGAATCCTTATCGGCGGCAACTTCCCCAAGTGAGTGGCCTGAGAGGGTGGTGGGCATGGGAGGGTGCAATAACCTCCTCCATGTGGCTCTCCAGACAGGGAGGTGCCCTCCAGAGCCCATGGGAATGACTGTCTCAGACTCTGGACTGGAAGGTGTCCTCCAGAGCTCATGGTATGACTGTCACATGGATTGTAAGGTCTCAGGATCAAATTAGTGGCCAGTGTCTAATAAGGATAATCACCACATTAAACCAGCCTGTCAGAGGCTGGGGATGAGCTTGGCTGATAGAGGCTTGCTTACCACGAGTGAGTCCCTCCCGGGTTTGATCTCCAGCTTGGAGTAAGTAAGCCAAGAGTGATGGCTCACAACTGTGACCCCAGCACTTGGGTGAATGGAATCAGGAGGATCAGAAGTTCAAGGCCATCCTCAGCTACATCACAAGTCTGAGGCTAGCCTGGGCTAATGAGACTCTGCCTGAAGTCAGCCAAGGTGAGAGGTGACATAAGCAGGGACAGGCTCCTTGCACTGGGAAACAAAAGTCACTGATATGACAGAGCTACTCAGTGACCCCCACACTGGCCAGTTGTGATGGCGCAGAGGACAAGGTGTTTAGGGTACAGTTAACACTCAGACACGGGCAGGTGCCTGCTCACCATGCAGTAGGTCCCTCCCCAAGCCCAGGTAGCCCAACAAGGGTGTGCTCCTTAAAGCCCACAGGGGTTTCACCGTGTCACAAACCCTGGTGTCCCTTTCATTTGTGGAGGTTGGTGTGGAGCCTGGATGTGTCCCAACTTGTCCTCTGAGCCCCAGCTGGCCACACAACCTCAGGTCATAGCCTGGGGCTGTTGAATCAGACAAGGTGGGTTTTGCTGGTACCAAGCGAGGCACGAAGTTGGGTGCCTGGGCCTGCTGCACTGGCTGAGGCTGGCCAGGAGACGGACAGAGGCCCTGCTGGTCACCCACCTCAGATAGTGCACTGGGGCTGGCCTTCAGGCCCGGAGGTCCCAGGAAGTGGTCTGTGAGTCTCCAGGGTCCAATGCCCATCGATTTGGTCTGTACCACTCAAGTTCTCACCATGCTGTCTGGCAAACAGTCAGTGCTCAATTCGTTCCTTCAAATTAGGGGCAGGTGCCAGGCACCGGTGAAAGTACTGAGGGTGCTAAACATGGAAGTACAACCCAGTAACCCCAGGAGTCTGAAGCAGGAGGATCCGAGTTCAAGGTCAGCCTTGGGTACAGAGTGAGGCTCTGTCTCCAAAACCAAAAACCCAAACAAATAAAACAAAAACAAGTTAAAGTGTGGTAGGGGCGGGGAGGACTGAGCCAAACCAAAATACCAACATATAGAAGAGGAATTTCCAGGAATGTGGGGTGAGCAATGCTGAAGCATTTGAAATAAATGATTCCTTTTATATCCCATGCCTCATTTTCTTCGACTGTAAAATAGGCTTGATAAAAAAGCCCTCTCCTGCCTCCGTCTAGAGCCACGCAGGATTAATGATGCTATCGATGCAGGTGTCCTCTCTGGGCCCCAGTGTAGAATTAGACCTAACCATTCCAGCCAGCGGCTTCGTTTGTGCCTTTGTCAAGCTTGTTGTGGCAGGTTCTAAATTATGGACCTTTTTAATTTTTTTTTGAGACAGAGTCTCATGTAGCCCCTGGCTGACTTCAAACTCAAAATACAGCCAAAGATTCTCCTCTCTCCACCTCCCAGGTGCTGTAATGACCGGTGTGTGCCACCACCATACCCCGTTCATGCAGTACCAGGGATTGAACTCAGGACCTCATGCATGGCAGGCAAGCGCCGTACTAACTGAGCAACATCTGAAGCCTCTGGGTCCTACTTGTTACACAGCTACTCCAAGGCGTTTGCACCATGCACCAGTGTTTCTGAATCAGACATTGTGTGAGAGGGGCTGGGGCTTCCGCAGAGAACAGTTTAGACGAGGCCCCTGCCCTGGTAGAAAGTGCATCCCAGCAGGGGATGAGAGTCAGGTGGGTAAGTACCAGTGCCATGGGGAAAAATGAAGTTATGAAGGGGGTCGGGACATGGCTGCTACTTGCCAAAACCTCAGAGAAAGAAGATTTGAGTCCCACCGGAAGAGGAAAGAGGGGAGCCATGGGACCTAGGGGAGAGGGCTGTGTTTCCAGCTGCAGGGGTGGGGTGCAGGGTAGGCGTGAAGGTCCTGAGCAGGAATGTGTCTGATAAGTTCAGGGAGTACAGCAGGAGACCAGAATGAGTGGAGAGGAGAGGCAGGGCCAGGGTGGGGGCTAGGTGGCCCACAGCCATGGGTAGGTCACTAGGGGTCGTGTAGTTTCTGGAGGTGAGATGGCAGTGACCCCAGGGTTCCAACCAGAAGAGGTACGCAGTCTGACCTTTAAAATCCTCTCTCTGGATAGAGCATAAGGGATCAAGCTTGAAAGAGGCATCAAGGAAAACGACAGGTCCCTGGCCACCCAGACAGGAAGGCCGATTCCTGCTGGCCAGAGAAGGCTTGACATCACTCCTTGTTTGGAGCAGACTCCGCAATGGGGAAGAGCTTGTGGGTGACAAGCCTTACAGTGGACAGTTAGCTGGGAGCAGGATCTTTTTATACAGAATAACCCTCTGAGTGGATCCTCTTTCCCAGAGGGGAGATGCAACCCAGGGACCTGAGAAGGCAGCCTGGGCCACGAGGCTGAGAAAGGTCAGGACCAGACCTTAATGATTTCAGACCCCTGACCCTGACCATCATCTGCCATGCCCATCTGTCCCCTGACCGATGGCGTCTGCCTCTGTCCTACCTCCACTCTGCTTCCAATGGCTTCCGCTTGGGCTGCGAATCTCTGGGCCTGTCATCAGGGGAGTCTGGCCTTGACCTTTCTCAGCAGCGTGGCTCAGGCTACGTCACCTTAGCTCACTGAGCCTCAGTTTCCCCCCTGGCAAAGCAGGTCCACTCAGAGGGATGTGAGGGCATAGAAGAGATGTATGGGGAGGGGGCGGGGAGGGAGGACATAAGATGACTGACCGAGCCTCTCCCCACCAGGTCCAGCGGGCGGCGGATGGCTAGGGTGGTCCGTGACTTCCTGCAGGCCCAGCAGGTGCAGGCCCCGGTGGAGCTCTACTCCGACTGGCTCTCCGTGGGCCATGTGGATGAGTTTCTGAGCTTCGTGCCCACCTCTGACCAAAAGGTGTGTCCCCTGCTTCACCAATTCCACAGCCTTCCAGAGTCATCTCTGCCCCCACCTGGCCACATAGGATAGTTCTGGGCATGGGCACTGCAACCGACTCAGTCCTATGGGGTCAGCATGCCCTGGGGCTTAGGCTGTGTTAATCGGGGAGGGCTTCCTGGAGGAAGCCAAGAGACTGTGTGCTTCCTGCTGGTCTTTCTAGACCCCAGAACACTCCAAGAGTCAGGAATGGCACTGGTAAGAGTTGAGACCAGAACTCAAGCGCCTACTGTGTGCCAGGCTCACACACACTTTTAGCCAGGTGGCCCTCCAACAAGCCCATTCTTGCCTCCATTTTACAGGTAAGGACATCGAGGCTTGGGAGGGTTGGCAACGCTCTCAGGTCCATACAGCCCAGGGTGGTTGCGGAGGATTTTCATCAGGATGTAGGCTCTGGGTTCTCCGTTGACCACAGAGACAGGCTCTCTTGTAGAGAGGGCCAGGAAGAAAGTGACCCTCATCCCTCATGGAGAAAGCCACCCAGGGGGAGGGGCTTCCTAGTGGACGGTGGCCCAGTGGTTAGAGCTCAGATGGGGGCAGTGAGCAGCCGCAGCAGGGACACACCTGGATGAGGTGGAAGGAGGAACCGAATTCCTTGTTAAGCAAAGTGAGCAGGACTCCAGGTAGGGACACAGATGTGGGAAGAGCCCGCAGTTGGGACCCACTTGGTGGGTGGCGTGGACAGGGCCGGGGAGAAAGGAGTCCAGGGCACACCTGGCTCCTGACTCAGTCCTCGGAGGTCTCTGGCATCTAATGGACCCATGCTCTGAATCATCCCCCGGCCCCCCACAGGGCTTCCGGCTGCTCCTGGCCAGCCCCAGTGCCTGCCTCCAGCTGTTCCAGGAGAAGATGGAGGAGGGCTATGGGGAGGCAGTGCAGTTTGATGGTGAGTGCCAACATTCTGTCACCTCATGGGGATTCCACCCTTTCACCACCATCCCTGGGGATGTTCCTACTGCTGCCCTGGAGGGGGGGGGCATTAAGGGACCAGAGAGTCATCTCAGAGAGGTTGATGGTGGCTCCTAGGCTGGACCTCAGGGGAGATGAAGGGGTATTTCCTGGGTCCAAATCCTAGCTTTAACACTTGCTGGAGTGGAGTCAGCTCTGCCTCTTGGATATGATAATCGCCCTCCCTGGAACATCTTAAAGATCAACTAAGCCACCCCAGCAGTTGTGGGAGGCCAGTGCCAGGAGCCCTGAGGAGCCCTGAGGAGCCCTGAGGAGCCCTGAGGAGCCCTGAGGAGCCCTGAGGAGCCCTGAGGAGCCCTGAGGAGCCCTGAGGCCTTCTCCCAGCACCTCGGTTTTTCTCCAGGGCCTGGCTGCAGATTAAACCAGTCTCCCTGAGTCCTGCCTTTCTCGTTCACTATGCTGCTTGTGTCAGTGTCATCGACATGCCCTGTGCTGCGTCAGGCCTGGGGGCTCCAGGCCGTGTCCCTGAACTCACTGTCTGTCCCTAAATACACACTGTCTGCCTGTCCCTGAACTCACACGCTGTCTGTCCTTCACAGGCCTCAAACACAAGGCAAAGAGAAGCATCAACAGCATCTTAGCGGACGAACACCTCAGGAGGGACAGCACGCACGTGCAGGTGAGGGCAGGATGGCAGCCAGGTGGCGATGAGGTCCAGAGTGAGGGGGACATGGCCCAGCCTCGGGTTGTCCTGTGGGTTTCCGAGGGTGTGAGAGTGAGAAGTGCGTTTGTCCTCAGAGCTGGCAGACTGGGGGCACAGGCCGGCCACCCCCAGGCCACAGCAGGCACCTGGAGTTTCCTGACTCCGGGGGTGTGGTCCCTTTCCACAGAAGTACATCCAAGGCCTCACCCTGGGAGAGGGAACGGGAGATGCAGTGGCATGGGGTCCTCAGGGACTCGGGACAGAGAGCCTGTGGGACACATCTGGGAAGGGGGAGGGCTCACCAACGATAGCGCCCGCCCTGTATATGATGCTGGGCTCAGTGAAGGGAGGGGCCCATCCGCTCTTCTTCACCAAGCCAGGACTTTACCTAGATGGCTGGGGTGAGGCAGGAATATTAGCCGTGCGATGGTTGGGACAGTGCCTTTAATCCCAGCACTCAGGAGGCAAAGACAGGCGGATCTCTGTGAGTTCAAGGCCAGCCTGGTCTACAGAGAAAGTTCCAGGACAGGCTCCAAAGCTACACAGAGAAACCCTGTCTAGAAAAAAAATGGCAGGGGGTCATCAAAGTGTCTAGCAGGTAAAGGCTCCTGCTGCCTGAGGAGCTCAGTTTGATCCCCAGAAATCATAGTGGATGGAAAGAATTGACTGACCTCCACATGTGCCTATGTTGTACACACACACACACACACACACACACACACACACACACACACACACACCACAATTTTAAAAAATGTAACTGGGACTAAAGAAAGGACTCAGCAGTTAAGAACATTGACTGCTCTTCCAGAGGACCCAGGTTCTATTCCCAGCACCCACATGGCAGCTCACAACCATCTGTAACTCCAGTTCCAGGTGATCTGATGCCCTCTTTTGACCTCCATTGCCGCCAAGGCATACACATAAAATTGTAATCAAGTGGCAGGATCCTTTGGAACCAGACCTCAACTATCCCTGTGCATTTGGGCAAGCGGCCGAGCCTCAGTTCCCCAGCTTCAGACAGCTGTGCATCCTTTTGCACAGAACCCCTGAGAAGCTCTGAGGCGCCCACAGGCGCTCAGTGCTGTATTCACTCACAGTGCACTCAGATACTACCATTGGGGGCGGGGCTTCCCTCCTCCCCAGAAATGCATCGACTGGAACCGGGAGGTGCTCAAGCGAGAGCTGGGCCTGTCGGAGAGCGACATCGTGGACATCCCTCAGCTCTTTTATCTGAAGGGAGCCTACGCGGAAGCCTTCTTCCCTGACATGGTGAGAGTGCCTGGTGGGTGTGAGGATGGGTGGACACAGAGGCTGTGCAGAGAGGGGGCAGCTTGGCCAGCAGTTCCCAGACGGGGCAGGAACAAGCGCTGGAGCCCCATGAGTCGGTGCCCTTGGCACCTGGTGGGCAACGGCCGGGAGAGCTGCTAGACACCCCACAGCGGGCAGCCAGCCCCACCCCGGTGAGCTTTCATTTTCCAGATGGAAAGGCAGACGCAGACGTTTCTGACTTCTATGTGGAGACTCACTGACTTGCTCTGTTCACACCTTAGCTCCCCCAAGGGGCATCTGCGTCAGCCTTCCTGGCCGACAGAACAAACAGTGGCCACTAGGCAGCAGATGAGGCCAAAAGCCCTCAGTCGGGGCAGGCCTGAGTGATGCTATCAATTCAGCTGGCCCACGGGCCCATTTCCCGCCCTGCCAGGAAAGGATACAGGGCGAGGTCCTCAATGAGAGGTGGGTCCTGGAGCAGGAAGCGACCCTCCTCTCCTATGGTGCCTTTAGCTTGGGTACTTCTCCTGGGACGAGACTGGAGTAGTACCAAGTGACCAAGTTAGGGAAAGGGGTGTGCAGACTGGAGTGAGGGGGTGCCTAGTTCCTGGTTATCCATGAGGTCTAGCTTCTAGGCTGGCAGGGTGCTGCTCCCCAAAGACAGGGGCTTTCCACCCGAGCCTCCTGCTGCTGGACACCATACGGTGTTTAACGGCATCTCTGCCTCCAGTAACAACCAACAATACCAGGCTGGTAGACCTTTCCTCACTGCCCGAAGCTGTGCCTCTGCCTTGTTAGAGCTTTCCCTGCTGGGGTGAGCACTCTGGAGCTCTGCAGTGGAACATGGCATCCTCTAAGTATCGGGATGACATGGTGACACGTGGCCTGTAAATAACAACCAGAGATGGGAAGTGATTTTAACCTTCACAGCCATATGTGGCTAAAGACTGCTGGCATATCTCCCATTGCAGGTGGGACATAGCTTAGGTTAAAGCCTGTGACCTTGGGCTGTGACTGCGACTCTAGGAGCAGAGGCCCGGCCAGGACAATAAACATGACTTCCTATTCCTCTCCCTGCCCTTTGACCCCCGCCCCCCAGGCACTCCCCCACCTCCCCAGCATGCACATTCCAGCTTGTCAGTCGGCAACAAGGCTTCCTGACTTGCAATGTCACTTAACCTGTCTGAACCACAACCTCAGAGGGGTCTGTGAGACTCAGGGATGGTGTATCTAGAGTGCACATACTCTCAGCAAGTGCTGAACACTAAAAAAAGGGCTGCTATAAACAGCCGAGCAGGCTGTGTACTCCAGAGCCATTAACACTGGTGAGGACAGGACAGTTACAGGACAGGCCCGTAGACCTGCGTGTTTAATCTCTGGCTGTGGCAAACTCGTTACAACGTGACGATTGTCTGAGAAATGGGAGAAACCATAGGAGGAAGGGTGAATGCCATTGGTAGCGTTAACCATACCCGCTACTAACTAAGGAACAGCTCTACCACTGAGTTACAACACCCTCAGCCCAGTGCGCCCCCCACCCCCCCGCCGCCTTTTTATTTCTTTTTTTACATGTTGAGATACGCTTTATTTATGTAGCCCAGGCTGGCCTCAAAGTCACCATCTTCCTGTTTATGACTCCCAGATTATAATGGACACACATCCCCACCCCCATCTCAGACCCTAGTCCTGGTGGGACGCATCAGCAGAGCCAGAACCCAGAAGGAGCCCAGGGTGTGGCACATTCATGGTCAGTAGGACTCTTCCTCTCTCTTGCAGGTCAACATGGTGGTCCTAGGCAAGTACCTGGGCATCCCCAAGCCCTTTGGGCCCATCATCAATGGCCGCTGCTGCCTGGAGGAGAAGGTGCGCTCCCTGCTGGAGCCGCTGGGATTATACTGCATCTTCATCGATGACTTCCTGTCCTACCACCAGCTGCTCGGGGAGATCCACTGTGGCACCAATGTGCGAAGGAAACCTTTCTCCTTTCGGTGGTGGAACTCAGTGCCCTGAGTCTGCCCGGCCACCACCCTTGCTGCCCTTTCGATGGGCATGCAGGGCAAGGATGAGGGACATGGACCAGCCTCCACCCTCCTGGGGCCTGTGGTCGGCCGGAGTGACTCCAGGGGGACACCACACTTCTTTGTCTCTGGAGCGGTCTGTCCTGCCCAGGGACATCATCACTCTTCCCTCTCCTGTTCCCAGCCACAGCCCCCAGAGGGTCAAGGTCAGCAGCTGAGCCTGTCCAAGGCATGGCCTCTGCAGGCACACCCCACCAGGAGTCTCTCCCCTTTGTTTGACTACCTCTCTGGGACTGGAAACAATAGCTTTGGGGCTGTTTCAGAAATGCTCACCATGCCTGGACCCTGGGCTGAGAGCATCATGGTTCCACATGACTCCTGGACTGTGTAAGATGAAAAGGAAGATTTGGGGCATTCTTTTTCCTAAGGGGACTTCAGGCTGTGGCCCTTACACACCCTTCTGCTGTATGTAAGCAGGCAAGGGCCGGAAAGGCCAGGGCCCTGAACGGGAGCAGGCACCAAGGCCCCTTTAATGCCCTACTCCATCCACTCCATCCTCCGCAGGATGCTTGTTACTTGTTGGGGCAGCCTTTAATTATGAGACCTGTTGCTTCCGGTTGGAAGGCAGGCTCTGGGGAGCATAGGGAGGCCCCTGGGGTGGGGGAAGGGAGGGGCAGGCAGGAAGGCCTGAACAGGAAATCAAATAGGTTGCCCATCTTGGGGTGGGGAACCTGGAAGCCTGGGACTCCTAGCTGAGCATTTGGGGACCCTGAATCTGAATCCTAAGGCTGCTGGCTGTTCCAGATGTGAAGGGGGTGGGGCCCAAGGTGTTAGGAGAGGGTGGGGCAGACCATTAAGTTACATCTGGAGGTGGGGCTTAATTTCCTCTAATAGTCTCTAATTACTCCCCAACCTGCTGCAGGCAGTGGGAGGGGAGGGCCCACACTTCCTCAGCAGCCTGGGACCCTGCACAACACTTGCACTGCCCTAGTAAACCCAGTGGCAGGCCTGTGTCCCCCTCCCACGGTAGGACAGACAGCTGCCCTGGAGGCTAATAGTACCGGGTGAGGTCACAGAAGCATGTGTAGGCAGGCAAGCAGGTAGACCAGGCTGGCTGCAGGGCACGGCTGGCAGAGGGAGCTGGCTGCTCCCTTCCTCCTCCGGTCAAGGAGCCACACCAGGCTGCCAGCCTCTGGATTCTGTCTTTGCATTTTTAGTAACTTCTTGTGGAATCCCAGACTTGAGGCAGCTGCTGTAACTTTGTAGCCACTGGACGTTCAGTTAGCAAAGGCTCCCATGGAACTGTTAGGATGGACTTGGCCAGGTAGTGATTGGCTCCTCCCCTCTAGAAGGTTCTATGGAATTGGAAGCCCCTTTATAGGCTCCTGACGCTGCCGCCACCCTCCTCTATGATCATGACCCAGCTGTGGCTGAGCCACGGAGAAGGAGAAAAAGAGGAAGAGCAGGCTTGGGGGCAGGGGCTGGCCTCTGAAGAAGAGCCTGCTGAGCCCTGGCGAGCATGGGAGCAAGCCTCCACAGCCTCATGAGGGGACCCTGGAGTTGCTGCCCAGGCTGTCTGGGGTCCTGGGTGACTGGCCACCCTCTTTCTGATCAATAAAAACATCACTGTGCATTCTCTAAGTGGCTGTCTCATTTGTCCCTGGGCTGACACAGAGAAAGGAAAGTGAGGGGCCCTGCTCCCCTGCTCTATACACCCTGACACAAGCGCCTGGGCTCAACCTCAGCAGGCCGTAGGCGGCCCCTGTCAGCTGAACAGCTTCCTGGGCTGAGGCAGGGTAAGTGCCAAGCAGCAGCTGATTCAACAGAACACACGGCACACGATAGCTTCCACCCTGCTGTCTGCTCGAGATACTATCTGGGAGGAGCGACCCGCCTCTTCCTCTCTCCCCATTCCTTGACTTTATCTTCATCTGTCAGGGAGGATGAAGAGGCGGGAGGCCTTGGGTCGGGCTAGCGGAGGGAAATGATAATGCTCCAACAGTTCCGGGGCCCAGGACATAGGCCCCGATTCTCACACCAAGTTACCAGCTTTGCAGCTTTGGTGGTCTGATCTCAGGGGCCTGGAACTACTACTCTTTTCTCATCTTACACATTTGCTATTGCCTCAGACGGTTCCCTTTGACAGAGTTATTTTAGCATTTTTTTTATGAACTAAGAAACTGTCCACCGATATTTGACATCTAAAAGCCTGAATCAACCACAGGGCTGCTTCTAAAAGTTGGTACTGGGCTAGCAAGACGGTTCAGCGGGCAAAGGTACTCAGTGCCAATCCTGATGCCCTGAGTTCAAATCCCAGGGAAAGAGAGAACAGACTCCCACAAATTGGCCTCTGACCTCCATATATGTGCTGTGGCGTGTATATGTCCACACACAAAATAAATGAATACATGTACTAGAATAAAATGCAGTTTAATAGCTGGTATCAGCTGGATGGATTTGACAGCAAGGATCTACTTCCGAAGGGAGCTATAGACTCTGGGCGTGAGACTCATCATGTCCCCAGCACAATGTGGCAGCATCCTTGGAGGGGAGTTCCTCACTCTTTGCGGCCATTCCCCACAGTTAGGGAGGCTGTCTGGGACTTTCTCCAGAATTCTGGTGACGCTGGGTCCTGGCTACTTTAGGGAATGCCCTTCCCAGACACTGAACTACTGCAGAGTTCATAGGCTCCAGATGTCATCCTCTAACGGGTGCAAATGGAGGACCCTGGGAAATGGATCCTGGTCCCTGCCCTGCCCTGGAGGGAAGCAGCCACAGGAAGGAGGGAAGGGCCTGTGTTCAGCACTTCTGAGTCTCTACAGCCATTATCTCTGCCAGCACAGGTGACTGGCCACATTTTCTACACATGAGGGAACTGAGCCCGCAGAAGAAGGCACGCAACCTCATCAGTACAGGTGCAGCCTGACCAAACGAGCCCAAGACTCCTCTTCATATTCCAGACTCCTCTTGGCTTCCGTTTCCCCACCTACAAGCGGGCCTCCTACTCTGGCGTTTTTGGCTCCTAAGGACTAGGGATGATGAACATTCACTTCTCCATCTTTTACCCCCTTGGGAACTTTTAATCTCCAATAGCAGTAGGGAGAATGAGCGTGGGTCCATGTTAGGTCTGCCCGCCATTGAATCCTGCAACCTCATGGCAGCCATTGCTCACAGGGAAAGGTGAGGCTCCACCAGGAAGCCCCTGAGGCAGGGAGGAAGCCCAGTCCAGTCTTACAACTCAGGCTTTTAATTAAGGAAGTCAGGGAACCGACGAGATGGTGCGGTGGGCAAAGGTGCTCATCACTAACCATAACAACCTGAGTTCTACCCTGGGATACGCATAGTGGAGGAGAGAGCCAACTCCTCTGCCTGCACACACGCACCGCGACACACACGCACCGCGGCACACACACACCACCGCACACACGCACCACGGCACACACACGCACCACGGCACACATGTGTACTACCTCCTCCGTAAACACACCAATGTAAAACATCATGCATATACATACAGTTATAATACGTTTAAAAGGAGAAAAACCAGGCCAGTGGGAGCTGGAGATATGGCCTGCCTAGCATCCACAAATCTCCTGTTTTGATCCCTAGCACCAGATAAAGCTGGTGGGGTAGTGCACACCTGTGTTCCCAGCACTTGGGAGGCTGGGAGAAGGATCCGAATTTCAAGGCCATCCTCAGACTCAGAGTGACTTTGAGATATTGGAGACCTTGTCTCAAAAAAAAGAAAGTCAGTCCGTGGTGGCGCACACCTTTAATCCCAGCATTCAAGAGGCAGAGGCAGGTGGATCTCTGTGAGTTTGAGGCCAGCCTGGTCTACAGAGCAAGTTCCAGGACAACCAGGGCTACACAGAGAAAGCCTGTCTCAAAATTAATTAATTAATTAATTAAATTTTGAAAAAGAAAAAGAAAGATGGGGAGGTGGGTGGGGCGGGAGTGGAGAAGGAAAAGGAGAAAAGGAGACAAGAGCAGCATTTCTCTCATGCATGCATGAAAAATCCAGTTGCTTGCACCAGGCTGGAACTAGGCTGGGAACCTGCATTCTCGGCAGCCCTTCCAACGGTGTAGAGAAAGGAGTCGCAAGAGGACAGCAGAGGGCCGGGGCAAAGCCCTGCATGCCCTTCCCCTGCCCCTACCCACCCCAGATGTGAGGGCCAAGTGCCTGTGGGGACTTGCTTTCTTTCCACCTGGAAATTAACTCCGGGTGCCCTGGGGTGGGAGCCACAGGTTCATATGCAAATGATAGAGCCCTTCCAGCCAATCCTGAAGAGGGGGTTGGCTCTTTGGCCTTTGAGAAGAAGCTGGGCTTCTAGGATGGGAACCAATGAGCTTGCACCCTGGGCTGGAGGGGTGGGACTGGGTACTTTTAAACCTCATCCTTGGGGACATCTGGCTAGTGCTGGGTTTGGTGGCCAAAGCCCCCATCCTAGGCCGGTATGTCTCTGCAGAGGATTGTGCGTGTGTCCCTGGAACACCCCACAAGCGCTGTGTGTGTGGCAGGTGTTGAGACCATCGTGGACATTTATGGGTAAGAATTGGCCCTGGAGGGTCTGGGGTTCTTCATGCAGAGTCCCTAGGATCCGTGCCTGTGTTCCTCGGGGCACAGGCTGGGCCTGGCTGCCTAGTTCAGTAGCTTTACCCTTGGAACGCCTGCCCGTGGGAGGATGCTTGGGTCCTTGCTGCTGTCAGTTAGGTTCCCAGCAGGGTTCTTGAACCAGGGGGGTGAGACGAGCATAGCTGAGCTCCATCCAGGGGCTTAGAGGAATCTGGGGCCATGGGTTCATTTCTCTCTGCTCAGGAGAGGCTGGGAAGTTTGTCTATGGTCCACAAGGAAAGGAAGGGATGTGCCCCGTGTCCTATGGTCCCTTGTCTTACAGGCATGGGAGAATTAAGTCATTTCTTGAAGGGCCACATCTTCTCACTTAGCACTCTGTCCCCAGAGCTTGTCAGACTTCTCAGGTGCCACCCTGACAAGAGCCCTGCAGCTTAGCACCATCTCTCATGACATTGGTCACAGGTGCAAACGGAGGCACCGAGAGGGCGAGCCATTAGCCCAGGTCACACAGTCACCGGGAGGCAACGTGGGCTGTAAGCCCTCTGCAGACTTACTGAGCACATCCAGCCACTCAGCCAGGGAGCACCGGGGCTTCAGACCCACTCTCCCCAGCCATCCACCACCCACACTCTGTGCCTGCTACGTGCCAGGCTGAGACTTTACACCCAGGGTAGCTTAGGTAGGGGCTGTAGGAGCAAGTCTGGTTTTTAGGCTCTTGTGTCCCAGCTCTGAGGCTCAGCTGGGGACAGATCTCAAGGATGCTGGGATAAGGGTGCCACCTCTCAGACCTCCCCGTCCCCTTCTTGGACTTGGCTTCAGCACCAGGACACCAGAAGTCCTCGTGAGATGACGCCACTCACTGTAATACCACGAGGGTCAACCTTGGCCTCCATTTGCCAGCGGCCAATGGTGCTCCCACCCCTCCCGGGTCAGCTAAAAATGTCTCTAGATATACTCAGATATGCCCGAGGGGCCGGTTCCATACTGTTTGAGGACAAGTGTCTAGAACTAAGAATTTAAAAAGTGGAGTGAACTGGGTTGGAAGCAAAGAGGTCCCGGGTGTGGAGGGTTAGGGAGTGAGTTGCCAGTCACAGGAAATAACCAAGTCTGCGTGAACTGCATACCAGGAGCTAAAGCCTGGCTGAGGGTAGGGGGGCTGTGGGATGTGCAGAGGGCACGTCTGTGGCCTCCAAAGAATCAGGCAGGACAGGAGCGGGGTAGATGCTGCCTGGCGCCACGGCCTGCTCCGGGGCTGGGTGCCCGTGGGGGTGACTCACTGCCCAGCTGCAGTGAGTAGGTATGTCTCCAGTTTGACCCATCCAGAGAGCTGGGGATGGCTCCTCCTACCCTCAGAGGCGCCTTGGAGGATAGGGGATGGACTGGGCGAGAGGCAGGCAGCTGATGGGGGGGGGGTGGCTTGAGTGATACAGGTGACGATGGGGATTCACTTAGAAGACTGAGGATGGGACAGCCGTGGGTGGTGGCAGGGCTTTGGTGTCACCCTGATGGTCAGTCCCCCTGGGAAATGGAGTGCCCTAGTCATTTATTTACAAACTCTCCATGGTCTTTTAGCATTAGTGATTGCCCAGTCCTAGGGACTCTTGGAAGTGGAAGGCTCTCTCTTTAGGGGAGGAGTTCTAGCATAGGCCAGGCTGCTGTCCAGCGAGGGCTACAGACTTATCTTGGAAGGGAAGAACGAGACAGGACATCTTAGAGGGCTTCTCCTGGAGCCAGGCCCTGACCTGCAAACTGGGAGCTGAAGGGCGATGGCTCAACCCTGACTCCGGCACTCCCCAGTCCCTGTGGACTCTTCCTCTAGCTCTGCAAAGTGGTGAGCCAGTGACATGAGTGGGTACCAGGTTTTTAGTGGCCTGCACCATTCTACACACTTTACCCAGATACCCAAGCTTACCACAGCCAAAGGGCGTAGGCTGTTCTCACCACTACATAGATGAGGAAAGCAAGACCCAGAGAGGTCAACTAACCTGTCAAAGGTCACACAGCCAGCTGGTAGAGAGGCAGGAGGCCATCCGAGCTGTCTGGTCCTTCCTTCAAAGAGACACCGGGAGGAGGGCACAGATAGTATACAGAACACAGGGTGCAGAGTCAATGCTAGCATGCACAGAGCATTTTATTATGATCTCTGTCACCATCATTATCATTGCCATCATTTTATGGCTCTGCACTGATCCTGGGGAAAGTCTCAAGTGTTTCCAACCTGCTTGTCCCAACTGGCTAGGACACAGCAGGAGATGGAGGGATGTATGGAAGAGGAATCCCATAGCCTGAGCAATCAGAGCAGGCTTCTTGGAGGAGGAGCCTGAAGGATGAGGCAGGAGAGAGAATGCTCAGAAGAGCTTGAGTGGCCAGGGGAGGGACAGAGGCTCCTGACTGAATCTGTTGCCCTTGGCAACTGGAGGTATTTATTCATCTCCATCTCACACCGGGAAGCTGCCCTAGGCGTCAGCAGGGAAGCTGTTCTCTAAGAGCAAGTGTCTCTCCTAAGCACCTGGAGAGGCGATGAGGCAGCACTCTCCTCCGTGGAGTGTCGGCGCCCGCTGCATCTTTGAGTCATGTGGGACTTTTAAAAAGTACTGCTGGAGCCAGGGTGGTGCGGTTGATAGAAGCTGATAGAAGGCGTCCTCAGCAATGCACAAGGCCATGCCTTTCATTGCCAGTACCATAAAAACCAGATACAGCGGCATACGACTGTAATTCCAGCACTTTGGAGATAGAGGCAAGAGATTCAGAAGTTCCAGGTCACCCTTGGCTCCATAAATTCAAGGCCAGCCTGCCCTACATGAGACTCTGTAAAAAAAAAATGAAACACTATTCAAAAACTCATCTGGGGTGTGGCTGAGAGTGCCTTGCGGTGGCAAAACTCTTACTTAGTGTATTTGCGGTTCTGAGTTTTACCACCAGCACCTCCCCACCCCCAATTGCAGTTTGGATCTTTTAAAAAAAACAAATTAAAAAGCTGCCCCCCTCATTTGTTGAGGAGCTTGGACACTGCCCCCCTAGTTGGGAGAAAAGACAACTCGTGGCACCGATGAGCTGCCCAGTGGAGTCAGGAAGGAGGCCTGAGTTTGGATCCTAGGTGTCTCCAAGGCTGTATCATCCTGAGCCACCAGCTCTTCCTTCCTGGGCCTTAGTTTTCTGCAAGATAACTAGAAGGGTTTGACATAGAAAGTGCCTTTTGGGGATGGAGAGATGGCTCAGTGGTTAAGAGCACTGACTGCTCTTCCAGAGGTCCTGAGTTCAATTCCCAGCAACCACATTGTGACTCAGTCATCTATAGTGAGATATGGTGCCGTCTTCTGGTGTGCAGGGATACATGCAGACAGAACACTGTGTGTATAATAAATAGATAAATAGGCCTTTAAAAAAGAAGAAAGATCGTGCTGTTTGAGCTCTGCTCTGAGGCCTCAGAGCCCCCTGGACCAACGGGACAGGCTCCTCTGTCCACATGGGGGTTCTCAGGAGTTCTGAGCATCCAGCAAGGAGCTGAGTCAGGGGACTTTGGAGAAGGTCAGTGTGGCCACCACTGCCCAGCCAGAGCAGGGTGGGAGGGATGTGGGGTCAGATGCGCCCAGAGTCTCCTGGGCCTCGTCTGTGAGCAGAGCTGGCACAATAGGGGACCTGGGACCCCTGGTGATTGCAACTGCCACTCAGAGCCTGCACTGTTTGGATTGTGGTCTCTGTCCCCACAGGCCAGTGCTGAGGGAGCCTTGTCTTTTGTTTCTGTTTTCTGTTTTAACCACTGGAACCTCTCATCGGCAGCTTTGTTTTGGAGGCCAGAGCCTTAGCCCAAGAGGGAGGCATCAGGTCAGTGAGGACAGAACAGCTAAGCCCCAGGACATGGAGTTGTCAGTCAGCAACTACTTGACTTTGGACAAGTCACCCCGGCGCCTCAGTTTCCCCAAAGTGAGATGATAATGTGCACATAATACAGGGACAGCTTCATTTACCGAAGTCACCAGTATCATCCTCACAGTGGGCAGGCAGACAAGGGCACAGAGGAAGAGCTGGCCGAGGGCTCCTGTGTCATCCTTGTGGCCCCAGTGGGGACTTAGGGCCAGCATTTCTAAGCAGTCCCTTTGCCATGAGGCTTAGGCATCAGTAGCCATCAGAAGGACTTGATGGCCAGGTCCCTGTAGCGCCACCGGCACTGGGAGCTTTGTTCACAAGGTTCAAGGAACTGGTCACTTGTAGTTTTCAAGGACTGTTCAGTTTTTTTTTTAATATATTATTTCATTTATTTATTTATTTGTGCAGTGGGGATGGAGAGGTAACAGCGGGTTCAAGTGGACAGTGTTCAGGAGGACTCAGATCTCTCTTTCTACCATGTAGGTCCAAGGGATCAAATACAGGTCATCAATCCTGGTGGAAAAAGCCTCTACTGGGTGAGCCATCTCACCAGCCCCTGCCTAGGTTTTAGCTCTGGATGTTCTGTCTCAGGAACACGCCTTGGTTCTTGCAAGGCTGGTCACCTTACTGAGAACACAGCCTCTGTGCACCCCAGCTGCCTGGTAGGACTGTGAACAGGCTCAGTTGGGTTAGGAGAGTAATGGCCTAGAGCCATCTGGAAGGTAGGGCGAGGGGTTTGCCTCACCGACTGTCATGGTTGCCTGGCCCAGGAAGAGTGTTGCCCAAGAGAGGTTCTAGGCACTTCCTAACTTCCAGGAAGCAGAGATCTGCTGCCGCTGGTCCAGGTTCTTCTTCCGGGAGCCACCTCGGCCATCCCGACACATTGCTTCCGTGCTGGGGCGTCATTCCTGGATGGGGCTCTGGAGTCTTACCTTCTGGCCGCCTCAGTTTCCCTAACAGTAAAATAAGGTTCTGTGTTGAGGTATATTTGATGGCACTGTGGAACTCCGAGACTGTGTTAATAAAATTAGCCTCAGATCAGGGGATGGAGACAGCCACTAGTTGTCAAGAATTGGCCTTAGAGAAAATGGAGGGTCCAGGATGGAGAGGCGCAGGGGAATGAGTAGGGAGGGACTTGGAGATTCTCCGTCTTTTTTGGTTTGGGATGGGTGGACGGTTTCTGGGCCTCTGACCAAAAAGGAAGGACAGCTGGTTGTTTCTCAGCTTCCCGTCTGGCAGGTTTTCACCCCAACATCTGACTCCTGAGTCTTTGTTGATAAACAGAACGATAGAGACTTAGTTAAGACCTACATGTGATGGCTGCGGCCGGGCCAGCGCCAGCAGACTGGAAATCCCGCCAGGCCTTGGTCTGAGCATTGGGACACTGATTGCGGGGCTGCAGGGCACAGACAGCAGCTAAAATGTCTGTAGATTCAGGTGCAGCCGCTAAGTAGACAGAAAAACCACAGTTATAACTTTCATTCTGAGCGCTTTACAGACACATCTGCCCCTTCCATCTCCTGGTCATCTGAACAGGATAGAGTGAGCTGCCTAGAAGGCCGTGTCATGCCCTCCAGGTGTGAGCGGTGGGCTGGGATTTGAACCCGGGCTTCCCGCCTGCAGGGGCCACATCGCCCCCCTCTCAAGAACCATCGGTGGTTCCACACTACGGATAAAATGGGAATCAACCCACCGCACTGTAGCGTTGACCTCCTGAGGCCCCTGCATGAAATCTCCTTTTCTTCAGAGGAATCTGAGTCGCCCCAGCTCACCATCCTCCTGCAGCCTGCACCATAATTCATCTTAATAGCAGCTTCCTTACCTTGGCCAGGGGTGTTCCAAGCCTCTCATGGCTATTAATACACTTGAGCCTCCTGATTTCCCAAGAGACTGGCCAAGTGTGTGTCATTAGCCCACGCTCTAGGAGACTGAGTCAAGGTCACCTGGCTGAAATGGGACCCGGCTAGATAGCCACCTGACCGATGATTGTGGCCTTAGCCACTAAGCCCTTGCCTCTGCCGAGGCTGCAGTGCATGTCAGTGTCTGTGGCCACCACCTTTGTTTGTCCTTCCTGGACAATGCTGTCTCCAGCTTCCCTAGGGATTCCTAGCAACTCATTGGGTGGCCCAGGGATACTGAGCTGAGTTGACTGGAACCTCTGAGCCAAAGGGCTTCACACTAGGAAGGTTTCAAGTCACTTTGGCCCTCCGTGGTGGATCCAGGGCCCAGCATGGTAGTGGACCAAATGTAGAAAACTGACCAGCTTCTTGGGTTACTGGAAGCCAGCTGCCTCTAGGAATGGGATGCTCCCTGGGGTTCAAGAGAGAGCTCTTCCTCCCTGAGGTTCAAGAGAGAGCTCTTCCTCCCTGGGGTTCAAGAGAGAGCTCTTCCTCCCTGAGGTTCAAGAGAGAGCTCTTCCTCCCTGAGGTTCAAGAGAGAGCTCTTCCTGAGGTTCAAGAGAGAGCTCTTCCTCCCTGGGGTTCAAGAGAGAGCTCTTCCTCCCTGGCTGAAGCACCTACCTATGTCTGCCTTCCTTTCTTTTTTGGTTTTCTTTTACTGTTTTGTTTTTTGAGACAGGCTCTCACTGTAGCCCTGAGTGTCCTGGAACTAGCTCTATAGATCAGGCTAACCTCTAACTCACTGAGATCCACCTGTGGAAGCCTCCTAAGTGCTGGGATTAAAGGTGTGTGCCATTGGGCCCCGCCCATGTCTGTATTTCCCACTCATCCATCTCTCTTGAGTCTTTCTGCCGTGTGTGTGTGTGTGTGTGTGTGTGTGTGTGTGTGTGTGTGTGTGTGTGTGATCACCAGCACCAAATGAGCAGGATGGTGGTGAGATATTGGATCTCAGCTCTTAGGCACAAGAATGCCCATGAGTTTGTGTGGTACCTACCTGGGCTCTGCCACCCAGACGTTGCTGTGAGTTGCCTGGGTAGTTGGGGAATGCTTCCTGGAGGAGGGCACGAAACTTGAGCTCACATGTCTCAGTAAGGTTCCCTCACATTGCCCATGATCCCTTGCTCTACTCAGCTCGGTTCCCGAGGGCACAGCCATGTTTGAGGTCTATGGGACACCCGGTGTGGACATCTACGTGTCACCCAGCTTTGAGAGGAGCCGAGAGCGAGCTGACACCAGGCGGTGGTGTTTCAACGAGGGGCTGGAAATCATTGTGGTCATGAACTCCCCTAGCAATCACCTCAACGACAGTCATGTGAGTTCACCCCGGCCCCGCATCCCATCTTCCTGTAGAGTTCCACAGCTCCGTGGGGGAGCACTCGGCCTGAGGGCCACACTGCTGGGTGTGAGTCTCAATTCTGCAACTTACAAGTCCAGGCTGCGTGTCCTCAGACCTCAGTGTTTCAATCTGTAGGGTGGGGCCGCTGCAGTCCTGCTCCCAGGCTGGGTGGGGATGAACCCTGAGTGTCTTCTCCTGCTGAATCAGCCCCCATGAAGGGAGGAGTTAGCATAGTCCTTCTGTGTTGGACCTCAGTTTCCCCATCTTTAGGGAGGGACTTGGTTAGGGGTTTCTGCTGCTCTGGATGGAGGAGAGAGCAGGGATGGGGAAGGAAACTGATGCCTAGGAGCTGACATTTCCCTGATGGGCCTCACCTCCCTCCCAACCACCCTCTTCCTGTCTCCATTTAAAAGATAGGAGAGATTTAAAGCATAGAAGAAACTGTGACTGGTGGTATCCCCTTGAAGGATTGATGGGGACCAGGACCTGTCATGAGGGAGATATTCTTGCATCAAGGGCAATGTTTTGGGGAGCTAATCCTTTAAGGATCATTGACCATTACTAAGCCCCGGGTAGCCCACATATCATGAGCTGGCCCTCTCCCCTATGTGGGGCACCAAGAAACTGTCAGGGGGCTGACCCAGCTAGGGAACAGAAGTTTTTAAGACATCTGGATTCTCACACATCTGGCTCCCTCCCTTCCTAGTCTTCTCATCTTCCTTCTGAATCTGGCTTCAGCCCTAAGCTCAATGAACCCATTTTTCAGAGGATAACACTGAGGTTAAGAAGGAGTGTGTCTTATGTAAAGTCACAAGTCCCAGTGAGTGGTCTAGTTACTGAGGATCAGAGTCTCTGGGGCTGGGCTGCCAGGCTATGGAAGCTCTGCCTGTTGTTTTGAAAGTTGAGGCTGTGTGGGTCCGTCCCCATCCTGAGCTCTGGGGCTCACAGGTCAGTAGGACTGAGGAAGGCCCTCCTCCCCTCCCCACATGTGAGAGCCTGGTGTAGATACTGGGGTTCCTAGTCTGAGGGGTAGGTGGGCTCCACAGGGTCCTGACCCTGCGACCCAGATGAAGGAGGATGTCAGAGCCAGGGTGGCATGGCACAGGTGTCTGCAGGACATGCCCCAGGGTCAGTGACAGATGCCACCACCAGCTTCCCAACGTGGCAACCTCTGTCCTCACCCTTAATGGTAGCTAAGCCTGGGCCAGCTGTGATGAACCCCCACACGCTGTGCCCCTTTAATCCACCTGGCTGTAACCCATCCTACAGGGTAGAAACCATCATTATCCTCACTTTATGGCTGAGGAAACTGAGGCCCAGAGGTCAGAAGCTATCTCAGGAGAGTCGATCTGAGACCAGGTCACCCGGCAGAGCCCATAGGAGTGCCCTTCTGTCACCAGAGTGGCAAATGTGGGCAGGTCAAATGTAGGGCTCTAGAGTTTTCTTTCCTACAAAGCAGGTCCCACCCTCAGAGGATCTACAGTTCTGGTCAGAAAGGCTGGGGAAACTAAGGCAGCACAGACAGGTATCAGACTTTCGCCAGAAGATGCTGGGCTCAAGTCTAGGTACTTGTTGGTAGGGCTAGAACTCATATCCCCATGGACCCAGGACAAATGGTGCCCACCTACAGACATGCCAAGGGATGGGAATAAATGACTCTGAGGAGCTTAAACGGGAGCTGGCACAGGGGCAGAGGTGGCTGAGGGTCCTGCCTCTGCCCACCAGGTCCCAGAGGCCTGTCCAAATGCCATATATGTGACACTGAGCATGTCTCTCTGCAGATTCAGATAGCCTACCACTCCAGCCACGAGCAGTTGCCCCTGGCCTATGCGGTACTCTACCTCACCTGTGTGGGTAAGCCGGGCAGGGGAGGGTGTGGCCAGCAAGCCCTGTGAGAACTGCTGATAAACTTCCTTTAAAAAGAAGCGGGTTAGGAGCTGGGCATGCTGCTCTACAGTAGAATACCCTGCTGACCTCTGCAAGAGCTTGGGTTTGGTTCCAGGAACACATGTGTGTGAACACGAATGTGCACATGCACACACACACACACACACACACATACACACAACGCCAACCAATTGTTTTTTTTAATGGAAAAAGAAAGTGCATATTAGAAAATTCAAACATAGGGGATAAAGGGCCTAGGGAAGACAGGTAAAGTGCTTACTGAACAAGCATGAGAACCTGAGTTCTAATCCCCAGTGCCCATATAAAAGCAGACCATGGCAGCCTGTGTTATAACCCCAGCACTGGGAGGGGGAAACAGGAAAACCCTGGAGTCTTGCTGGCTATCCAGGCTAGCTGAATTGTTGAGCTCCAGGTTTAGCGAGAGACCCTGCCTTAACAGGTAAAACAGAGGGGCTGGAGAGATGGCTGCTCTTCCAGAATTCAACTCCTAACAATCACATGGCGGCTCACAAATATCTATAATGAGATCTGGTGCCCTCTTCTGGTGTGCAAGGATACATGCAGGTAGAACACGGTATACGTAATAAATAAATAAATAAATACTTTTTTTTTAATGACAAGTGGAATCCAGGTACGGTGGCACAAGCCTTTAATCCCACCATTGGGAGGCAGAGGCAGGAGGATATCCTGATCTACATAGCTAGTTCTAGGCCAATCAGGGCTACATAGTGAGACCCTGTCTCAAAAACAAAAACAGAAATCACTACACATACCAGCTGTGCACAGTAAATGAAGTTACAAACATGTACTCGGCACACCAATCACTGAGTCAGCCCCCAGAGTCCCCCACCCAAGGTCTCTTCACTGTCTTCTGCTGTGTTCCCTTTATCTTCTATATGATTTACAACCAAGCACATGTAGCAAAGTGTGTAGTCTGTCGGATTCCTGCAGCTGGAATCCCTCCCTCCACATCTGCTCCTCTGTGTGGGGTTCCTTCCACCCACCTGTGTTGGTGAGGTCCCACCATTCTTGTCACAGTGGTGGGGGAATAAAATCACCCAAGTGCTCTCTCTCTCTCTCTCTCTCTCTCTCTCTCTCTCTCTCTCCCTCCTTCCTTCTCTCCCTCCCTCCCTCCCTCCCTCCCTCCCTCCCTCCCTCCCTCCCTCCCTCCCTCCCTCCCTCATACTTCAGAGCATGTTACCTTCAGGGAAAGCTTCCTCTGGTCCATTCTTTGCACTGACCCTCCTTCCTCCCCAAAGCCCCTCCCCTTGCCCAAGGATGGGAAACTCTAAGGCCCCAGCCTGTGGGTGTCTCCTGGGGGATGGCACCCACCTACCTGGCCCCGATGACTGAGGTGGACGCCAAGGTCTATCATGGGGACTCACCTGCTGCTGCCTCCCAACAGACATCACTCTGGACTGTGGCGTGGATTGTGAGGACCGACAGGACAGGAGCTTCGTGGATAAGGTGGGCTTCTGGCTGAGCCTTGGACAGAGGCAGCAAGTGTGGAGTTCCTATGCAGCAGGTCAGAGGTGCAAGGCCATATGAGTGTCACTTTCCCCCCAGGTGACTCGAGGTTGAGGCAGCCAGACAGAGACCAGGCATGGCAGGAGTCATCAGCAAATGTGACCATAATATGGGTCCCTAGACCTGGGCTATCTGTGATTGATGAGAAGAAAGCTCTTAGTTTACAAAGTAGGCCAAGGGTTATGAAACTTTTAGAAAGAAAAATAAAAGCCTTGCCAGGAGGTGGTGGCACACGTCTTTGGTACCAGCACTCAGGAGGCAAAGACAGGTAGATCTCTGAGTTCGAGACCAGCCTGGTCTACAGAGATAGTTCCAGGACAGCTAGGGCTACACAGAGAAACACTTATCTCAAAAAGTCAAAATAAATAAATAGAAGCCAGATTGTAAATGCTTTAGACCTTGTGACCTATACTACTTTGAAAAAGCCAGTTAACGCATAAACTAATCATGGGACTGTGTTCTGATAAAGCTTTATTGACAAAAACAGACGCCGAGCAGATTAGTCCTACAGGTAATAAATGTGAGGACCCAGGTCTGGGCAGAAAGAGCAGCCTACTGAATAAGACACTGTTAAAGGCCTTTGATACAGTCTAATAGTGCTGATGCATTGGGGGTTTAGAAGAGGCCACAGTGGCCAGAAGGGCAAGGAGGACTTCTAGGAAGGAATGCCTGAGCCAGACAAGGAGGGTTTCCGGGAAGGAATGCTTAAGCTGGGTTGGAAAGGGATTCCATTAGCTGGAACAGGGCTTGAGCTGGAGGGATGAGAGGGGAATTGAGAAGTCACCCATAGAGAAAGAGGATCATGGTCAGGGGGCACCTCACAGCCAGCCACCATGGATCGGACTTGATGGTGTAAGCACTAGGCCACCATGGATGCTTCTTGAGCAGGGGCTGCTTCAGTGAAAGTGGGCTTCTCACAGGATAGCATAAAGGCTCAGGAGGCTGGCCAGGAAGTACTGAGTTGGAGGCCTGCCCTGGGTCTGGCTGGAGCCCCTGTTGCCAGCTGTATCTTCTCGTTGACAGAGGCAGTGGGTGTGGGGCCCTGACGGGTATGGAGCCATCTTGCTGGTGAACTGTGATCGGGATGATGTGGGCTCTGATGCCCAAGATAACTGTGACCAACATGTGAACTGCCTGCAAGGTGAGTGTGCTGGGCTAGCCCAGTCTCTGGGTACCCAAGGTCCCTCCTCAGTTACCCCACAGGGGTTCCTACCCCCAGGAGGGGCTCTGAAGTTGGGCAGGGGAGGGTCAGAGTTCACCATGAAATTCTTCAGAACCCAGCCCAGGCTGTCTCTCCGCAGTCCCCAGTCCTTGTGGTACTGGAGGGAAAGGGCTGCTGGCATTGTCTGAGTACCCACTGTGTGCAAGGCCCTTCCCCCAGATCTTTCTTTAATCATTCAAGGGGGTGAGTGTCCACCCCAGTTTAGAAAGGAAAGGACTGAGGCTCAGAGGTCAGGAGGGATCCTCCAATTTGCACATCCAGCCTGTGGGCTGCCAAACCCACATCCAGACCCCTTCCCACTGGATCTCTGACCTGTGATGGAATGAGGCACTGCATTATACTCGTAGGAGCTGCCTTCTAAAGTAAGCATCCCCTGGGGATGGGAGGGCGTGGCTTACCCAGTAAGATGCCCAGGTGATCTTCAACTCTGCTCTGGGCACACAGGGAATGTGGGCTGCAGAGAGGACATGCAGCAGGGTAGAATCACATGTGCACACACACCTCTCAGTCACTCCAGTGGGTCCTGATATCTCCCTGAGCTGAGGCTGGGATGCCCAGCCCTTGAGATTTAGTGCACTTATGGAGCAGCTGTCTGTCAACTCCCTCTGTCCGGCTTCACAGATCTGGAAGACATGTCCATCATGGTCCTACGGACCCAGGGACCTGAAGCCCTCTTTGACGACCACAAACTTATCCTCCACACCTCCAGCTGTGATGCAGAAAGGGCACGGGTCTTCCACGTCTGTGGTAAGTGTGAATTGGGCACCCGCCCAACCCTGTCTGCCCCCCTGTCGTGGGTATATGTGCATCTCAGCTCAGGTTCCAGCGGAGTGTGTGTGCGTGTGTGTGTGTGTGTGTGTGTGTGTGTGTGTGTGTGTGTGTGTGTGATGTGAAGACCACAGGACAGCCTCAGGTATTGTTCCTCAGGTACTGTCTTGCTTTGTTTTCGAGTCAGAGTCCCTCACTAGCTTTTCTGAGCATGAGCTCTGGGCACGGCACTTGGGTCCTCAAGCTTGCACATCAAGTCCTTTATTGACTGAGCCATCATCCTTGAGCCTATTAAATAGGCTTCTCTACCAGACCCCTGAAGAGGGTTTATTTTGTTTTTGTTTGTTTGTTTTTGCTTTGTTTTGTTAGCTTTTAGACACAGAATTTCTCTGTGTAGCCCTCACTGTCCCAGAACTCGCTCTGTACACCAGGCTGTCCTCATTGAGCCCAGAGGTCCCCCTGCCTCTGCCTCCCGAGTGCTGGGATTAAAGGCGTGCTCCACCACCCCTTTGTTGAAGTTGAGCTTCTTACTGCAATTTGCACCCATATATTTTTAGATTCATTTTTATATATGTACATGGGGGTGGGTATTACACACATATGCAGGTGATCATGGAGGCCAGGAGAGGGCATCAGATCCCCTGGAGTTGGAGTTACAGGTGGTTGTGAGCTTCCAACATGGGTGCAGAGAACTGAACCCTGCAAGAACAGCAAGCACCCCTAACCACTGAGCTGTCTCTCCAGCCCCTGTCTACATATTCTTGTGGGAAGATGGTGAGAGGCAGCATGCTGGGTTAGGGTAAACACTGATTTGTCTCTTAGAGAAGAGTGCCCTTCCCCACCATGCCCAGGGGCTGGGCCTTTTCTCCCTCCCTGGGGTAGGAGAGGAAGGGCCCTTTTAAAGGCTGTTTGCCTTGCACTTGGGAGAAACTGCTCAACTCTCCTGAGACCTTCACATTCCCTGAGCAGCTCAACTGTCACAGCCCCTCCTCTTCTCACAGGTCCTGAGGATTCCTGTGAGGCCTATAAGTGTGTCCTGGGACCAGACAGGGTGTCCTACGAGGTACCCCGCCTCAATGGCGACGAGGAGCGCTTCTTTGTGGAGGGCCTCTCCTTCCCTGATGCGGGTTTCCCAGGGATCATCTCCTTCCACGTCACCCTGCTGGATGACTCCAATGAGGTAAGTAAGGGTGGCGCTACAGAGGGTGAGACAAAAGTTCCTGGGCATCGCAGGAGTTAAAGGTCTCACACTCGAATACCCTACTGGGCATCTCCATCCTTTAGAGAAGCCAAGGAATGGTTTGCTTGTTTTGAGACAGGGTCTTTTGTAGCCCAGCTTAGTCTTAAGCTCACTATGTAACCAAGGATGACCTTGAACTTCTAACCTTTCTGTCTTCACCTCCTGAACGCTAGGATTTTAGGCATACACTACTATACCCCCTTTTTATGCAATGGTGGGGACAGATCTCAGGACTCAGATGCTAGGCAAACACTCTTCCAGAGGACGTACATCCATAGCCCAAGTCAGGGAATTTCTTGAGGACTTAGGGGAGGGCTTCGGAAAATCAAAAGTCTTGTCTGGCCACCACACTCTTGAGTCCAGCACTCTTTGTCTCCGTCCTCCTATGAAGGACTTCTCCGAGACCCCAATCTTCACGGACACTGTGGTGTTCCGGGTGGCGCCCTGGATCATGACACCCAGCACCCTGCCACCCCGGGAGGTGTACGTGTGCAGGTGAGTCTGGGTGGAGTCCTAGCCTTGGAGTCGGCTCTGATCCTGGGCCCTGGCTCTGAGTGTCCCCTTCCACCCGGATTGCTCACAGTGTGAGAAATAACACGTGCTTTGTGGAGGCCGTGGAGGAGCTGGCCAGGAAGGCAGGCTGCAAACTCACCATCTGTCCTCAGGCGGAGAACCGCAATGACCGCTGGATCCAGGTAAGCAGCGCCATGGGCAGTCCCACTGGGACAGCATTCTGCAAGGAAATACCCATGAGGACCCAGGGCTCCCTGACTCCAGAGGTGGAGTCCTCATTCCAAAATTTCTCAGACAGGCAGACCTCTAGGGAAGGTGGCAGAAGCCACACACACTCCCAGCCCACTGAACTGAGCTGAGAGGCAGTTTATCCCTCAAGGGGACGTTAGGTAGCATCCGGAGACACTGGTTGTCACAGAGTGGGGAGAGGGGCTGCCTTTAGCACCTAGAGTCTCATAGTGTCGCTAAAACTCCAGGGCCAAGTCAAGTCCCGCAGGGAACAGTCTGGTCCAGTGTGTCAACAGCACAGGGCTGGGAAGCCCCACTGTAGTGAATGACTGTTTCAGAAGCCCTGGAGTCCAGGATACAAGGGGTACCAGAGTGCCAGAGGGGACTGGAGGAAGCCTTACTGTTTCTGTTGGATGGATGGCGGGTTCCAAGGGGCGGGGCTTCTGGCCGAGCGCCCTGGGGAGTCCTCCCCAAGGAAAAGCCCGGGAGGGAGGGGCCTCTGCGTGAGCTGGACTGGGAAAGTGGGGAACATTCACGGCTATTCCCCAGGCGCTTCCCCCACAGGCCCTGCATAGCGTCACTTCATCTTCTCTGGCCTCTTGTAATCACACCTGGGTGTTTGCTGATGAGCTCATGCAATGAACACCCAGCCACTGTGCTGACAAAGGCTTGGACTTGGACTACCAATCATCAGGTGGGATGGGATCGGACCAGCATATACCAAGGCCCAGAGGCAGGAGGCAGGAGAGTAAACCTTATTTGCTCCCTTGGCCAGGGCAGTGGTTCTGGGAAGGGGCAAGCGCTGAACTGAAAAGCCTTGAATGCCAAGCTACGGAGTTTCCAGTTCAGATAGAGGTTAGGATCCTGGAACAGGACACCTGGACTTCAGGTTCTTGTCACTGGCAGGCTGTGTGCCCTTGAGCAAAAAGCTAGTGTCTCTGTTCCTCTCTGCCTTCATGTATCATAGGAATGATAGCCATATCTTCCATGGATGGGTCGTGGAGACTAATAGTGTGTGTTCATAAAGAGCTCAGGGCCTGGCACACAGCAGGCCACTCACTGGCTGTGCCATCATGGATTCTGGGCCATCATTTCCTCAAGAGCTCTGAGGAGGGGACATCCCTGTCTCATGTCCCTCAGCACTGCTGCCAGCCCTTCATGACCAAGTATAGAGGCCATAGGGGTGGATGCATGCTCCGTGGGTGACCTGGGTGTCCAAACTGCTCCATGCTGCATCTCTCTGTACCCACCCTGACCTGCCCAAGCGCAGGCACACCCCAATGTCTGTGTTCTCCTTTATTCCTATGTGACTCTCATGGGCAACCAAGCCCCCATCCCCTTCTCTTGGCTGTCTCCCCCACCTTGAAAAGCCGAGACCGACCCACACCTAGGAGCCGCCCATCCCAAGAACTCAGTGGCCAGCACTTGGGGGCACTGTTGACTGTCCACAGCTGCGGTCTCTCTCCCCATCTGCAGGATGAGATGGAGCTGGGCTACGTGCAGGCGCCACACAAGACTATGCCCGTGGTCTTTGATTCCCCCAGGAACGGGGAACTGCAGGGCTTCCCTTACAAACGGATCCTGGTGAGTCGGGGGCCAATGCAGCCCCAGGGACTGAGACGACACAGCCTCAGGGACACCCAGGAATACAGGGAATAGCACCTGGAACCTTGTTCTGCAGGAGCAACAGCTGGCTGGCTGGTTACCTTATGAGAGAGGGCCAGTGATGTTTAGTCAGGGCAATCAATTTTGGTATGAGCCTATTCCACCCTTAATATGGGATAGATTTATGCATTTATCTGTGCTTCACTGCGGCAGTACTATGTGGTTTTATTTGCTGATCAGCCGCGGGAGGTGGGAAAGACGTAAGGGCTTTGGTATCATCCACATGCTGTGTGGCATTGAGAGACTTCTGTCCCTCTCACAGCCTCTGTTTCCTCAAAGGCAGAAATAGTTTCACAGTTTTATAAAGCCTGTCATTGTCACGGTGACAGCTGCCTGCCGGGAAGGAGCCTGTCTTACTAGAGCATGTGCTGCCTTTTGGGTTTTTGTTGTTATTTGGGGGATTTTTTTGTTTTGTTTTGTTTGGAGGGGGGTTCAAGACAGGGTTTCTCTGTGTTACACAGCTCTGGCTGTCCTGGAACTCACTCTGTAGACCAGGCTGGCCTTGAACTCACAGAGATCCGCCTGCCTTGTCTCCTGAGTGCTGGGATTAAAGGTGTGTGCCGCCGCCACCACGTGGCCTTTCTGCCTTTTGTAATAAACAGAGTAACAGTGAGTACAGAGGGCCCCTGAGCACTGAGGGGACGGACACTCTCGTTTTCTAAGGACTGTGCTCGCTGCTGCAGGTCACTGGGCCATATAGTGTCAGACACTCATCTGCCCTCAGTGCTGTCTGGATTCCCCCTGAGAGACAACAGGGGAGGCCGCCATTCTGAGAGTTTGAAGACTCTGCCCCCCTTGGCCTGGACTTGACAGGAGGGCCCTGTGCAGTTCAAGGAGCCTGTCTCATCAGGGTCTGTCTGATCGGGGTACAGAGTGACTGGGCCTGGCAAAATGTCACCGGCCTAACAGCTCCACCACGGGCCTCAGGATTAAATGCTTCCCAGTCTCAGTTTTGGCCCCTTTGCACATGTGACATAAAACCAGATCAGACTCAGTATTTCCTCCTGAAGAATGGGAGGCTGTTCCCACCTGTCTTTTAGGAGCTCAGAGACCATCACATGAGTTCAGACTCTTCCTAATCCTCTACCTGAGCCTGACTGAGTTTCCCCTCCCAGGGTCTAGATTTTGGCTATGTGACTCGGGAGCCTCGAGACAGCTCTGTGAGTGGCCTGGACTCCTTTGGCAACCTGGAGGTCAGCCCGCCGGTGGTGGCCAATGGAAAGGAGTACCCCTTGGGGAGGATCCTCATCGGGGGCAACCTGCCTGGGTGAGAGGCTCTGGGCGGTAATGGTGGTGGTGGGGATGAGCCCAGGGAAGTCCTGGGTGGGGTGGGCTGCTCTCCAGACTGCCTGTGCTTACCCTGGGAAGTCAGATAATACCAGCGAAGTGGGCCAGAGTGAGCAGGGACATGCGATGTCGTTAAGTCCAGCCCTTTCCTTTACAAGGGGCACAAAGAGGCTGGGCCACACACACACAGTACATCCTGGCTGGGCTGAAGTCCTCTGTGAAATAAATATATGGCACATGTAAGGAAGCATCTGAGAGCATAGAGAAAACAGCATCTAAGTCAAACCTTGGTCATACTGTAGTGGAAATGATTAATGTTGGATCTTTTTCTGAAAGCAAGGGAGGGATTAAGTGAAATGAGAGTTGAGATTACAGGAGCCTTAATGTGTACACACATACACACACTCATGTGCATGCACACACACATGCACACACATATACACACATGCTCATGCACAAGCACACACATGCATGCACACTCGAATGCACAAACTCTCTCTCTCTCTCTCTCACACACACACATATATATATACAGGCATGCACACACATGTATTCTACATGTGACACAGGTCAATGACGGACAAGGAGAGTGAAAGCTACAGGCAGTTAAGCAAAGCCACTAGAAGAGATGAGATCAAATATAGACGAGCCCAGAGTCAAGCTAGAGAGAAGACGTTGAGACCGTGCTGTAGGTATTTTCCAGAGGGCCAGAGAAGGATGGGTTGTAAATGCACGAACAGAAAGTCCCAGGCCTGTGAGATCTGCCGGGGCGATCTTGTTGACCTCTCCCGTGGACGTCCAGCAAACTGAGGCTGCAAGAGAGGTGTAAACTAACTCCAGGAAGGACTACTCAGTTTTGTGAGACTCAAGACAAGAGTGGGGGTGGGGTGGTTCAGTGTCCTGGAGAACATGGTTCTCAGGACCTGTGTCACGGGTCATTCATTACCGTGACTAGCCTGTGCTAAGTGGCTTAATCGGAACCCACCCTGAGTGGAATATTAAAATATACTTACTGTCTTTCCTATTTATAAAGTAATATGTTGCTTTGAGATTAACGTATTGCTACGTAGCTCAGCCTGGCCTGGAAGTCACTATATATCCCGGGCTTCCCTTGAACTTGCAATCCTCCTGCCTCAACTTCCCAAATGCTAAGTCTGTGACACTATGCCTGGGAGCACATTTTGGAGTCAGGTACTAGGGAGAGCTGCCCTCTGGCCATTCTGGCCATTTCCCGTAGAGTGTGTGTTTAGTCTGGTGTCTTTTCCTAACCACGCCCCAGGTCGAGAGGCCGCAGAGTCACCCGGGTGGTCCGAGACTTCCTCCGTGCCCAGAAGGTGCAGCCCCTGGTGGAGCTCTTTGTGGACTGGCTGGCTGTGGGCCATGTGGATGAGTTTCTGAGTTTCGTCCCTGCACCAGACAGGAAGGTAAGGACTTGAAGCATGTCTCGGCAGCCTTGAGAGTTTGGGGCCGGGGCTGAATGGGGGTGATAGGAGCGTAAGACCATGAGTTCAGCTGTGCCTGCTCTCCACACACAGGGCTTCCGGCTCCTTCTGGCCAGCCCCAGTGCCTGCTTCAGGCTGTTCCAGGAAAAGCAGAAGTGGGGTCATGGCAGGTCCCTCCTTTTTGAGGGAGTCATTGGTAAGTAAAGGCGTCAAGTCCCCCCCAAAAAACATACTGTCTCTCTCCTGAACTGAGCACCCCATGACTTCAGAAAGGAATGAGCATTTTATTTTATTTTATTTTTTTATTTTTTATTTATTTATTTTTTTGGTTTTACGAGACAGGGTTTCTGTGTATTGTTTTGGAGGCTGTCAGACCAGCCCTGCCTTGAACTCACAGAGATCCGCCTGCCTCTGCCTTCCGAGTGCTGGGATTAAAGGCATGCGCCACCACCACCCAGCAGAATGAGCATTTTAAAGCCAACTGGTACCCTCAAAATTCAGGACCGCTTCCTTCTGACATGGCACACCCTGCATCACTGGTGACCACCGTCTATTAGGGGCGGGGCTAAGATTGGCACAGGGCAGAGGGTGTGGAGAAGAAGGTGAGGGCCAGGTGTGCCCAGGGATGTCCCATCATGCCTCCACTCAGAAGGTTCCAGAGCCCAGGTTTAGTGTTTTTTGGTCATTGGTTTGAAGTCCAGATGATTTTTTTAAGTGAGGTCTAACAGCTCTACGAAGCTGCTGGAGCCCCAAAACCTCCATCAGTGGTCTCCTGTCTCTCTCAGAGGGGCTCTCTGCCACCCTCTAAAGTGCTCTCCGAAGCCCCAGCCACCATGCCTTCTGTCCTTGGTCATCACAGGATGTAGTTACGCCCTCACCTATGTCAGGGCCTGGCTTTAGGGAGAAACCCAAGGGCAACTTGGTGGGAGGAGCCTCTTGCCAGCACATCTTTGCCAGGAGGCTGCGGCACTCTGGCCACCTCCAATGGTGGCTGCTTGAGGTAATGAACCTGCAGGGGAATAGACACTGCAGCGGAGCTCATGGTCAGGGCTTGGTTAGCTGGCAGCTGAGAGGGCTCTGTTTCCCTGGCCAGTCCTGTCTCCATGGCCTCTACTGGGCAGGCAGGAAAACCCGACCCGAAGTCGCTCCTAAAAAAGCAAGCCAGAGCCTGTTGGTATTGGACTTCTAGGACCTGCTGAGCTGGGCTGCTTCACTGTCTAAAGAACCCATAAACCCCGGCCCTGGATGAAGGCCCTCAATAGACCCAGCTTCTCCCCAAGGAGCTGGAGGAAGAAGAATCATTACCAGGTTCCCAGTGCTGCTGTTAAGCCCAATTAGTCATTACCACTTCCAGTGAACTTAAATAAAACTACAGTTCATCGCACCCTGGCAACCAGGCTCCTCCAATCCCTCTTCTTCCCCCAGATGTGCCCATTGGCCAGGCTAAGCTCTCACAGATGCTGGTCACCCCCTGCTCAGGAGAGCCTTGGAGCCATTGACTAGGCAGACCAGCAGCTGTGAACCTGGCCTCTGGTCTCCAGAGCGGGAGGCCCTCACACAGCTTTGTGGGAGCGTCCCCAGGCCTCTTTGTCTCTTTCACAGGTGACAGGCGGGTCAAGACCATCTCCATCAATCAGGTCCTTTCCAACCAGAACCTTATCAACTTTAATAAGTTTGCCCAGGTACAAAGGCCATGGGGCTGTGGGAGGCACGTAGGTGTGGATGGGACTGGGGTCAGGGCCAGGGCAGACATCTGGGACCCACAGTTCACAAAAGGTCAGCCAGGTTGAAACAGGCCCAGACCCTCCTTTGACCTGGCATCTGTGAGCCCTGTGCATCTGAGAAATGAGGCAGCCAGGGCTATAAGCACAGAGACAGATGCAACTCAACCCCCAGGAAGGATGTCAGAGTCGGTGGCAAGGGTTTGGCCTGCTACAGCCTTGAACTTGGGACTGCGCGAAGACTCAGATGAGACAGGTGTGGGATAAATCAGTGGGCAAGGGCACTGCAACCCACCAGGCCCGAGGGCAGCATTCAACAGGTGTCCTTGAAGCAAGAGAAGAGGGCAGATGGGGACAGACTGAGATGGAACTGATGTGGAGGGAAAGGAGAGGTGGGAATAAAGGCTTGAAGCCTAGTGTAGGGCGTCCCATGGATGGGAAACTTGGGGAAGTCAAACTTGTGAGTACACCTTTTGCCTCTTCTGGCCTCCAAGGGTACTGCATCCAGGCACACACCTACACACACACACACACACACACACACACACACACACACACACACAATTAATGATAACATAGATCTTAAATCACGTATTGACTAAGAGCCCCTAAATTGGAGTCTAGGATGGTGTGTTCTCAGTGTTTGTTCAGACTGAGGAGCCGGACATGGGAGGGTAGGAACTAGGCAGGAGGGGTGTGTATAGCTGATGGTGGGCACTTGGTCACCTGCCTCAGCCACACTGGCAAGGTCTCTCCAGTTTGTCCCTTGCCCACCTGCAGAGCTGTATCGACTGGAACCGGGAGGTGCTGAAGCGGGAGCTGGGCCTGACGGAGGGCGACATCATTGACATCCCGCAGCTCTTCAAGACGGAGAGGAGGAAGGCCGTGGCTTTCTTCCCCGACCTGGTGAGTTCCCCACCTGGGCTTCCTCGGGTGAGGCTCTGAGTCTCAGTATGGGGAAAGACATTCGATTGCCTTCATGTGGGAACTGCAGTGACCTGGGGGTGGGGGTGAGGAGAATCGAGGCCCAGGATGCCCAGGCTGACATTATGGCTTCCTGTGACCCAATCTGTGGCATTAAGAAAAGTTACATAGGTTCATGTGTGCAGAGCACATGGCGTCACCCAGGAGCTCAGGGGTCAGCCCTGACTCTGCCGCCATCATTCCACACAGAGCCAGACGTCCTATGGAGAACAGAGACGGCTGAGAACGGTCCCTGGCCTCTGTTAAGGGAGCATTCTCCTCACCACTCTGAGGGCATGTCCCAACCACTGATTCTGCATGGATAAGGGGTCAGATCACAGACGGGACGAGATGCAGTCAACCTGAGATAGGAGTGGAGGTCCCAGAGGGCTTCACGGAAGGCATGCCTTGGATGGAACATGCCTTGTCTCTGCTGTCTCTAAACCTTGAGTTTCCACTTCAAACACCCAATACTGGAGCTCCCCCCTCAAGCATCCTGATTGAGCAGGTCTGAGGGAGGGTCATGGAGTATGGCTGCCTTCTAACTCGCTGCCAAGGAGCATTGTTGCTGCCCTGGTCACCAGCTGTTCTCGTCACTCTCCATCCTCAGAGCCTGCATCCCCTAACCCTGACCCTGACCCTGACACTAACCCTGACCCTGACCCTGACCCTAACCCTAACCCTGACTCTAACCCTAACCCTGACCCTGACCCTGACTCTAACCCTAACCCTGACTCTAACCCTAACGCTAACCCTGACCCTGACCCTGACCCTAACCCTAACCCTGACTCTAACCCTGACCCTGACTCTAACCCTAACCCTAACCCTGACTCTAACCCTAACCCTGACTCTAACCCTAACCCTGACCCTGACCCTAACCCTAACCCTAACCCTAACCCTGACTCTAACCCTAACCCTGACTCTAACCCTGACCCTGACTCTAACCCTAACCCTAACCCTAACCCTGACTCTAACCCTGACCCTGACTCTAACCCTAACCCTAGCCCTAGCCCTGACCCTAACCCAGTCCTCCCTTCCTTCCCTCTCTGACTTTCCGCCCTTACTTGCAAAGCCCTTCTCTGCTCCCCTTCCTTCCTGCATGTTTGGGGCAACCTTGTAATTAATCCGCATGCTCCCGGAAGCTTGTGCAAGGGTTGAGGTTCTTGTGTTGGCTAGAGGCAGAGGCCCACCCAAGCTGGCTCAGCCAGATGGAGACCTGACAGAAGGCCACTGTGACATCTGAGGGTGGTACAGCTGTAGCGAGCCCTCAGTGTGGCCTGAGCCCTCTCGTTTCTGTGTCCGCATCGCTGCCTCCGCTGGTCTCCTGTCTCTGCCCCTCTCTCTTTGCCGTTCGGCAGCAGGTGCGAATGTCTGTGTTACTTTTCTACTGTGTGTTAAAGCACCACGACCAAGGCAACATGTAAAAGAAAACGTTTCATGGGAGCTCACCGTTTGGAGGGGAAGTTCCTGAGCAAGGGGTGAGGCAGGAGGCAGGCAGGCCTGGCATTGGAGCAGTAGCTCAGAGCTCGTGTCTGATCCACAAATGTGAGGCAGACAGAGTTAACTGGGGAATGATGTGGGCTTTTTGAAGCCTCAAAACCCACCCCGAGTGACTCCTCCAACAAGGCCATATTTCTTTTTTATTGTTATTTTAATTTAAATAACTTGTTTTACATGTCAATCCCTGTTCCCTCTTCCTCCCCTCCTCCCACACCCCCTCCACTATCCCTCCCCCAGCCTCCCACCCTATTGCCATTTCCTTCCACATAGGGGATATCTAGAGTCTGTCATTTCACTCAGGGCAGTGTCCAGGCACTCCTCTAAGAGTCCAGGCTGAGAGAGCATCCCTCTTTGTGTTATGGACACACGATGTCTGTTTGTATTCCAAGGATAAACACTGATCCACTGCTCAGGGCCCCATAGGTTGCCCAGGCCTCCTCACTGACTCTTACACTCAGGGGGTCTGGATCAGTCCCATGCTGGCCTCCCAGCTGTCAGTCTGGGGTCCAAGAGCTCCCCCTTGTTCAGATCAGCTGTCTCTGCTGGTTTTGCCAGCCCATTCTTTGCCAATTTGCTCATCTCTCTCTGTCACTGGGTTCCATGGGTTCAGTTCAGTGTTTAACTGTGGGTGTTTGCCTCTGCTTCCATCAGTCACAGGATGAAGGCTCCAGGATGGTTATAGACATCAAGTTCATTATCAGGAATGGGCATTCGAGGTGGTCTCTCCACTATTGCTTAGCTTGCCAATTGGTGACATCCCTTTAGATCACTAGAGTTCTCACTGGTGCCAGATCTGTCTTCTAACCTATGATTCCCTCTTCCCCCTATTCTACCCCCCCACTCAACCTTCCTGTTCCCCCATGACCTACTCTCTCTTCCTCTTCTCCCCCTCTCTTCTTCCCAGCTCCCACCACCCCCCCACTCCTCACCATGTTCCCAATCTGTTCAGAAGCTCTTGCCTCATTTCTCTTCTCTTGGGTACCATGCATATCTTTTAGGTTCTTTCCTGTTTCCCAGACTCTCTGTCAGTGGAAGTGCAGACTGGCACTATCCTGAACCATGTCTAAAATCCATATATGAGTGAGTACATACCATGTTTGTCTTTTTGTGACTGGGTTACCTCACTCAGGATGGTTTCTTCCAGTGCTATCCATTTACCTGTGAATTTCAAGATTCCATTGTTTTTTTCTGCTGAGTAATACTCCATTGTGTAAATGTACCACATTTTCTCTATCCACTCTTCAGTTGAGGGGCATCTAGGTTGCTTCCAGGTTCTGGCTATTACAAATAATGCTGCTATGAACATAGTGGAGCAGATGCCCTTGTTGTATGAATTTGCCTCTTTTGTATATATGCCTAAGAGTGGAATTGCTGGATCTTGTGGTAGATCGATGCCCATTTTCCTGAGGAATCTCCATACTGATTTCCAAAGTGGCTGTACAAGTTGGCACTCCCACCAGCAGTGGAGGAGTGTTCCCCTCTCTCCACATCCTCTCCAGCATAAATTGTCTTCAGTGTTTTTGATTTTAGCCATTCTGACAGGAGTAATCTCAAAAATTTTTTTTGTTTTTTTTGAGGCAAAGTTTCTCTGTGGCTTTGGAGGCTGTCCTGGAGCTAGCTCTTGTAGAACAGGCTGGTCTTGAACTCACAGAGATCCGCCTGCATCTGCCTCCCGAGGATTAAAGGCATGTGCCGCCGCCACCCGGCAGCCACATTTCTCAATCCTTCCCAAACAGTTCCACCAGCTAGAGACCACATATGCATACATATTGTCACTCAAACCACCACAATGAATGGTGGCCATGAGATGCTGAACCTGTATAGAAAAAGATTCACCCCACGTCAACGCTAATTTTCTGGAAGAGGGAACCCGATTGGCTCATCTTGGTCAGCTGTTTAACTTGGTCCAATCAGAGATGGCCTAGGAGGGGTTCTGTTGTGCAAACATGGCAACCACCAAAGAGGAGGGCAGGGGCCTGGGCTCTGCAGATCCTTCTGCAGGTGTCAGGTTCGCTGGCGCTCTCCAGGAGAGAGGAGTGAGAGATCAGACATGTTCAAGGCTGCCTGGAGATAACCCCAGATTCTCTTGGGGCCTCCAGGGTGGGCAGGTGATGTTGGAGTCCTGCCTCTGATCTGGGCCCCCACTTTGCCGCAGGTGAACATGCTGGTATTGGGCAAGTACCTGGGCATCCCCAAGCCCTTCGGGCCCATCATCAATGGCCGCTGCTGCCTGGAGGAGAAGGTGCGCTCCCTGCTGGAGCCGCTGGGCCTACACTGCACCTTCATCGATGACTTCACACCCTACCACATGCTGCACGGGGAAGTTCACTGTGGCACCAATGTGCGCCGGGAGCCCTTCGCCTTCAAGTGGTGGCACATGATACCCTGAGCCACGCCCGTCCCGCATCCTTCCCCTGGGATGGGGCATCCACCCAGGCGATGGAGACTGAGACGGACCCCTGAGCAACAGGCACCAAGAGACTCCCATTTTCTACATGGAATGCCCAGGGTGACCCATTCCCCTCAGAAGCCTTGTCTCTTGAAGTGTCTGCAATCACCTGCAGCCCATTCAGTCCCCAGGAATGAATCCTCTTGGTTCCCCCCAAAGAAGGGCCTCTCATGTAGATCAACATGACCATGGGATACCCCTAAATACCATCCCTACACAGTCCAAAACTCCTCTGTGGGTACATCCACTTGGGTGTCTAGAAGTGTTGGCACATTGTCTCGTCAGCAGCTTGGCCTGTGTTTCCTATGGTGGAAGGCCCCATTGCCTCCTGTCCTACAGAGGATGACTGTAAAGTCAGAATAGTCCACATAAAACAAGAGAGATTCCACCCACCTCACCCCCCAGGAAGCTCTTGGGGGTCCATTAGGTCAAAGTGTGACCATCATTCCCACTGCAAGTTCCCGGCCAGGACCCACCTCTGTCCCACCCAACCTAAGCTATACACAGTAGGCACCTCTGTGAACTGTTGTCACACGGTGGGCGCCTCTGTGTGCTGTCACACAGTGGGTGCCTCTAGATGCTCTGAGAATGGCAGTTATTCATTTTAGCTTTATACACTCCCCATCATCTGATGTTTGAGAACCTGGTTGTCCAAATCCTCTTGGAGGGGAAGTGACTGAAGGGCTGTTGGTGCTTAGGAAGACTGACTTCCGGTGGAGAGTGTCTTTCCTAAGACACAGGATTGACTGTGGTGGTCCCACTGTCTGGAGGAGGAGGGTCAGCTGGCCTGGGGTAGAAGAGACCACTGGCTGACCTAGCCCTACACCTTCTGCCAATATGCCTGTCCTGCAAGAGAGGCCAGGGAGCCCAACCCCAGGCGCCACCAAGGCAGAACTCAGTGGGACAGTTGAACCTCTCCACATACAGGGAGAAGGGAGGGGCCTGGCTGTCTCAAGATGTGTGTTCTGTGGTCCAGCTGGCCAATAAATCAGCAGAAACACAAATGGCCTGGGTCTAGTGTTGGCCTTTCTTTGGTGACTAAATTGAGGGGGTTTCTTGCAACTGAGACATTTGAGGCTTGATAATTTGGGTAATAGGGTAAGAGTGCTTTGTCTTGGCTACAGAATGACCTGGGGGTTCATGAGCACATCGATGGTATAGATGAGAAAAAGCAAGCCTATGATAGGTGGGATGCTAGACCTGGGCTGAGCAAGATGCCAGGAACCAGGCCCATTGGAGATGGAGGCAGCATCATTGGGGCAGGAGTTCCGAGTGCTTGGAAGAGCCAGTTGCAAAGGGACAGAGACACAGCTCGACACTGTCACCCTCAACAACCTGGGGAGTCCCCCTAATTTTTAAGGATCTTGGCTCAGATCAAACCAGGATTCGTGGCTTTAGTGCAGAAAGGAATTTCAGAAGTAGACGGTATAAAGCAGAATTTGAGGTTTTAATAAAAATAATCTTAGTATATGCTGAGAGCACAGGGTGAGGAGAAAGAGAGGGAGGGGCTCAGAACTGCACTGGAGGACTGAGGAAATGACCCTGTAATATAAGAGTGCTTCTGCTATTCCAGAGGACCAGGGTTTAACTCCCAGCACCCTGTGTCTACTAACTCTAGCTCCAGGAGCTCTAGTGCCCCCTTCTGGCCTCTATGGGCCTCTGCACACATGTAGTACACACACACACACACACACACACACACATTTATTTTATTTTTTAATTTTGTTGTTTTTTCGAGACAGGGTTTCTCTGTGTAACAGTCCTGGCTGTCCTGGAACTCACTCTGTAGACCAGGCTGGCCTTGAACTCACAGACTCTTGAACTCACCTGTCTCTGCCTCCTGAGTGCTGGGATTAAAGGCATCTGTCACCACCATCTGGTTTACATATGCATTTTTTTAGATAAAGAACTAAAAGGCACCCAAAAGCATGGGTGTGATTATAGACTTCCAAGGAAGTGGCACAGGAAATGAGATGTCCCTAAGTGTGATATGGGCAATCTCAAAAAGAGTAGCATTGATTTATGGTTAGTGGTAGAGTAAGAACAGTGCCACTAGGCAGGAAAGAGAAGCCCCTGGCAGAGCGGGCTTCTCAGCGAGTTCTACAGGGGCTATGAGCTCATCTCAGAAGGGAACGACTGCAAACTAGTGGGAGGCTTCTGAATGGACTCTGTACAGACAGTAATGTAGAGACAGCCCCAAAGCCTGTAAAGTCATCCCCAAAGTCGTGCATTTCCCCCAGAAGCTGGGAACTTTGAAAGGCTCTGACTTACCAAGGTAATAGTGATGGCTGACTGACACCCCGCTTTCCTCACTTCCTGGTCCCTCCTTCCTCCTTGAGACTTCTTAGTCGACCTCCCCCTCCCCCAGTCTGTTTCTCCTACCCCACCCCACACCCATCCAACTCAACCAAACTCGAATCTCTGAACTCAATCTCAAGTTTACACACGGCCCAAGTCAATTAGGACGGAAAACAGAACCAGGAGGCCGGGCCGGCAACACACCTTCAAGTCCGTTCCCCTGTGGGAAGCTGCTTTCCAATTCAGTAAAGCTTGGCCTACTGTCCTTGTTCATCTCGGGATCCACTGACCTGGGAGCCACCGGTTAGGAGCGACTTGAGTGGCTGTCTGTTCTCCTGACCACGCCCATCTGAGCCAGGAATTTGGTTGCTCTGCTCTCAGGGATCACAGAAACAGTGCCATTATCCGTGTACGCCAGTTCCCTTTCCTCTCCCATGATGGCTGAGATTGTGGGTGTCTGTGGAGAGCCTTGGATGTGGCTATCAGACAGTCAGTCAAAGCCGAGAGCCGAGGTCACACAGTGTGTGCTCCTTCCCTGTGAATGGGTTTCTGGTGAGATTCCTAGGTTTAGAGTGTAGGTTCATAACTGGGAAGGCAGAAAGGTGAATGACTCCTTCATGTCCTCCTAATTTTTCCTGTCTTTCTGTCCTGCCTCAGAGGTGTGCTCTGCACTGCTGGGTCCGGGTAGGCACATGTGAGGGCCTCCCAAACCAAAACAGAATGCAATTTCTTTCAACATTGGGTGTGGCTCCCAGGGCACATCCTTTCAAATCCTGCTAGAACACGTATCGCGCTCCCCAGCTTATTGAGAGGTGGGGTGATGGCTCCAGGATCAGATACAAAGGGGGTGGGTTTGGGGGATGCATTCACCCGGAAGGTCAGCTCCTCCAGCAGAAACTCTAGGAAGCATAGATGGACAAACCCAGCCATTATAAACAAAGCCTCTCTTGCCCAAGTCCATAGCTGAAGGTGGGTCAGGGGTGAGGGGGATGGCTCAGCTGGTCCAGGCACTTGCTGTTCGTCCCTGGCAACCCTAACTGATCACTGAAACCCACATAAAAGTGGAGAGAGCTCACTCCACAAGGCCGTCCTCTGGCCTCCACCTTCATGCTGTGGCATATGCCCGCTCACACGGACACTACTGAATAGTGTGGTTAGGTCTGAAGAGTGAGCTCACTGCATGTCAGGGTTAGGCGGGGACAACTCCATTCCACACTGCCCTTGGGAGACCCAGGCTGGAGAAGGTCTTCCAAGTGTGGATTCCAAAGTCACTTTGAACTTGACCCTGAGAAAACAGAGAGGGGAAGACAGATCATCTCAGGTTAGAGAGGATGTGCAACACTGCCATATACATACATACATACATGCATACATACATGCATGCATGCATGCATGCATACATACATACATACATACATGCGTAGCAGTTTTGGCAGCTGGGTCCCAGCCTTCCATCTTCAGCACATGTTTCATTTGCTTCATGTTAGGATGTCCTCACAGTTTCAGTCACCTTTGCTGTCACAGCTGTAGCCAAGCAGAACCAGCCCAGGCCTGCAGGCTCCTGTCCGCCCCGTACTCCACTTGGTCATTCCCTGTAAGCACCTACTGACCATGGCACCCTGGAGAGACCCGAGAGTCAAGAGTGGGGCTGGGGAGATGGCTCATCGGTTAAAGAACTCGCCACGCCTGCATGAGGATCAGAATTCAGATCCACAGAACTCAGATTAATGCCGGGTAGACACAGGCAAGCCGTCTCGGATTCCAGTCTCAGAAGGCAGAGACAGGGGTATTCCCAGAGCAAACTGGCTAGCAAGATTAGCCTTACTTGCAAACTTCGGGTTTGACTGGGAGACCCTACCTCAAGTAATAAGATAGAAGAGTAACTGAGGATGAATTCAGACATTAGCCTTGGGCCTCCAGAAGCATGCATACACACGCAGAAGAAAAAATACATTCATGTACAACACACACACACATACACACACGTGTGCACACAGGCAAAATGGAAAATAGAGGGAAAAAGGAATCTGTGGTTTCTTTAGTGTAAAATGCAAAGCATGCTGTGGAATAATCCTTCTGCTTGCTGTGAAAATGTGTTGCTCTCATTGTTAATAAAAACCTGACTGGCCAATAGCTAGCTAGACAGGAAGAGGTTAGGCAGGAGAGCCAGACTGGGAGAACACTGGGAAGAAGGCAGAGTCTCCAGTCAGATGCAGAGGACATAGGGGATGAACATGCTGTGCTGAAAAGAGCTACCACCACATAGTAGAGCATGGATGAGAAATATGAGTTAGTTTAACTTGAAAGAGCCAGTTAGTAACAAGCCTAAGCTATGGGCTGAGCATTTATAGTTAATAAGAAGTCTCTGTGTGGTTATTTGGGAAGCCGGCAGTCCTGACAAAAGCCTCCGCCTACAAAAGCAAAACAAATAAGTGTAAAGAAAAGGAATTAAAAAGAGAAGTCTAAGAGTTTGAAGACGGAGGCCAGCCTTGTCTGGGGAGGTGGCTCCTTTCCTGTTTACAAGGGAGGAAGTGATGAGCCAATGTGCTAAGTTGAGGCTTTGCTTGCCACCCTGGTCTGTGGGTGGGGAAGAACCAGGAGGCTCAGGTCCGCCCCGTCTCTAATCATCAGCTGTATATGGACGACACACTGTTGTGTCCCAGACAGTAAGTGGCCAGGGCTGTGGCACAGATCCTGTGGTTCCAGGATACATGTCCTAGCTTTGCCATTCACTAGCGGTATGACCTGGGCAAGTTACTTACTCTCTCTGGACTTTACTCTCCTTAGTAAGCTGGAGATAGTGCTGGCATCTGTCTCCAGGGATGGCTGGGAGCAGCTAAGTAGTCACCATGCAGGTGTCTGGCCCAGTAAAGTGTGAGATGCAACTTGAAGTAACTGAAGAACCAGAAGAAGAGGAGGAGGAAAGGGAGGAGAGGGAGGAGGAGGAGGAGGAAGTGGAGAAGGAGGAGGAGGAGGAAATGAAGGAGGAGGAGGAGGAGGAGGAGGAAGTGGAGGAGGAGGAGGAGGACTTACACTTTTAAACCTGGCACTCAGGAGACAGAAGCAGGCAGATCTCTGTGATTTCAAATCTAGCCTGGACTATACATAGTGAGGTTCAGGCTGGCCAGAGCTACATAGTGAGACCTTGTTAAATAGATGCCCCTCAACCGAAACATGGATAAGGAAAATATAGTATATTTACATAATGGAGTACTACTCGGTGGTAAAAAAAAAAAATCTTTAAATTTGCAGGTAAATGTACAGAACTAGGGAAAAAACATAACTGAGTGAGGTAACCCAGACCCAGAAAGACAAATACAGTATGTATTCACTCATAAGTGGATATTAGACATAAAGCAGAGGAAAACCAGCCTTCAGACCACAATCCCAGAGATCCTAGGTAACAAAGAGGACCCTGAAAGAGAAATACATGGATCTGCTAGGAAAGGAAAAAAACAAGATCTCCTGAGTAAACTGGGAACATGGGGCGGGGAGGGGAGAAGGGGAGAAGGTAGGAGGGAAGGGGAGTGGGGATTGTATTGTTCAATAAACAGGGGGAAACCCCAATATGGTGATGATTATGATTTTACAATTCTAGGAAATACATTAATAAGAACACACATGCAGGATGTTACTAATAACAGCCACTACGAGAAATACAGGATCGAGAAACGGGCAGTGGTGACTTACACTGGAGCAG